TCTTGCACTTGTCCAGTCTGCTCTTATGACCTTGTATTCTTGCATTTATTGTTTCATTTCTGTTACTTCCATCTGTACTACATCCCTTAGCTCTTGCATATTTCTCTGCAGGTCCTTCAGTATGGTTATGACTTTTATTTTGAATTCTTTTTCAGGAATATTGTTTATATCTATGTCACCAGACCCTCTTTCTGGTGCTGTCTGAGTACTTTTTGACTGGACCAGGTTCTTCTGCCTTTTCATGGCAATACAAGTGGTCCCAGGCAGGTGATGCATGTGTCAGCTGGGAGAACAAAGTCTCTTCCTGTTTGCTGGTCGCCTTGCCCTTCTCCGCTGCCTGTGCCGTCTACCTGCACACTGGGAACAGTCTCTGCTATAATCTCTTGAATTGCCGAGGGCGAGGTGGCCCTTGGGACAGCCTAGGGCTCTGAAGTTCACAGCTGCACTGGGTGTGTTCTCCTGCAAGAACGGCACCCCTTCGTGCCTTCCAGACCTCCCTCCGGCTTATTCTGTCTGTACTGTGCTACTGCATGGGGGTGGTAGCCTCTGGGTCTGTTCCAGTTAGCTGTACGCTGGGAAAATACTGTGTGGTTGCTTTGGGCGGGGCTATTCTCTGGTGCTCCATAGCTGTGGCGGGTCAGCTGGTTTGCTTGCAGCACCGGCCGGGGGGAACAAATGGCAGGCTGCTTATCGGCATGTTGGGCTCCAGGTCTGCTTTACCCCCAGGTCCTTAGGGGGCCTGAAGTTCCTCAAGATTCCCAGCCTGCGGGGCTGAGTGTGCTGGGATGATTTTATCCAGCTGTTGATCCCTTGTCCCTTTAAGACCTTTAAAAAGCACCCGCTTTTCTTTTGCCCCAGGGGAGCCGACTGTGGGGACCCATTTGCAGTCCCCACTTCGGATTTTACTTTTCCATTTCTCTAATGTCCAGTGCACCATGCAATGTGTGTCTGTGCTCCTAGTGCAGATTACTAGGGCTGGTTTTAGTGGTCCTGTGCTTCCACTCTGATTCTTTTTCTCCCGCTGGTGAGCTGGGGTGGGATGAGTGCTCGGGTCCCACCAGGTCACAGCTTTGTATCTTACCCTTTTCGTGAGATGCTGAGTTCTTGCACATGTAGATGTAGCCTGGCCTGTTGTACTGTATCTTCTGGTCTCTCTTTTAGGATTAGTTGTATTTGTTGTATTTTCAAAAATATATATCATTTTGGGATATTTCCACCCTCCTACTCATGCCACCATTTTGAGCCCCCTCCTTATGCAGTTTTTTCTTACAGTATGTATGCTTTTTCTTTCTCTTATTTCACAGGCTAGTATCTTTAGTACAGTGCTGAATAGAAAATGATGACCTCACATAGATATGTCTTTGCCTTCACCCGAATCTTAGGAGGAAAAGAAAGCATTATGTTAGCTGTAGATTTTTTATAGGTACTTTTTATCAGGTTAAGGAAGCTCCCTTCTAATTCTAGTCTGCTCAGTTTTCAATCATGAGTGGATGCTGAATTTTATTATACACTTTTGCCTGCATTTATTGTGACAATGTTTTCTCTCCCTGTATTCTGTTAATTTGGTGAATTACATTGAATTTTTAAATTCTAGTAATTATAAAAAAAATTGTGGCAAAATACACATAAAATTTACCATCTTAACCATATGCCAAGTATACAGTTCTTCACTAAGTATATGTATTGTGTGATTCACTTCCAGGAGTTTGTCTTGTAAAAGTGAGCTATATACCAGTTATTATACAACTTATTTTTCCCTCCCCCCATATACTCATTTTTATTTATGGAAGTTTCACTCTGTGACAAATTGGAAATAAAAAGTGGTCCTTCACCCCAGAAAGTTTTAAAAGCAGTGTTCAAAACCAGTTTACTAGTGGTAAAAAGGCTTTTTAAACATGCACTTAGCTTGCAAATTAAGCATTAAAGTCATATACACACAAAAAAAAATCAGTGTCTTGGGAGAAAAATATACCTGATTTCCTGATGATTTTCATCACTTCAAAAGAGATAAAATTGGATTGTTTTTATAGTAATTTATTTCACTTAAGCCAGAATTTAAGCCTGTCAGTCAATTTGATCATTACTTGACCATAAACAGCACAAGAACTTAAGCCAGAATTTAAGCCTGTCAGTCAATTTGATCATTACTTGACCATAAACAGCACAAGTCATGCATTCTCCTTTCCCTTTCAGTTCCTTTATACTCTGATCTTGGGTGAAACAGCCTGTTACTACTACTCAGCCAACACGGACAAGTAATTTTGTTTTAATTAAAAAAGAAGGCTTTACCTTGTATTTCTAACTTAACAATAATGAGTATGCCTTTTGACAAGTACTGAGTCACCATTTTTTTTGTTGCCATTCTAAAACACTTCAGCTTTATAGGTGGGATTTCATTTATTTTTTTAAAAAGACTAAACTCTTAACACCTAATTTTAGTTCAGTGAAATCTGTTGTTCCTCATATTATAGTTTTTGAGTAAAGCTTATGGGAATCATATGTACAATACATCAGAAAAGGACTATCATATTTTCATCCAACCTAAACCAGGAAAGTTGAGACATTTGTATGGAGAAAAGAAACTTCTAAATAGAAAACACAAAAATATACCATATAATAGTTTTATTTTTCTTATTTTGCTATTTTTACATTTTATGCACAAATATTTTTTATCTGAGCAAAAATAGAAAGTAATTGTTTTATGTAAAATTATAAAATAAAAACCACCAAGAAATACATAATTGTTATTATGACAGTATATTGTCTTTATTTAAAGAGTAAAAATGTATGCAAAAATCCTCCTCCCTTTTACAAAAGATTGAGAATATTTTTTTCTGGCAGCAAGTGAAGTATCACTGAAATATCAGTATTTTTACACCCTTTAGATATGAAGACACTAAGTCAAGAGGTTGTTTTGCAATTATGAAGCATTTCTGTGCTATTTCAAAGATAGCTAGTTTTTTTTAAAAGGCAGTAGCACAAAATAATGAAAATGGAAGACCTCACCAAAAGTATTTTGGAGGCAGAATCCTTTAAAAGAAACATCATACTTGAGTTTCACCATTAATTGGGGAAAAACAACTAATTTTTCCTCACTGATACAAGAAATTAATGTGATGAGTTGATCCATATGAAAATCAACCACATAAAGTAATTCTGCCTAATTTGTTTGATTTTCTGATGCCAACATAAACTTCAAAACTTCAGGCCAGCAAGATACATATAAAAATGGGTTCAGTGAGACCCTCATGTGGAAAACAAGTTTTAAAACAAAAATGAACATCTCATTGTTTTTGTACGTACACAGTATAAAAGATGACCAATAATTTTACCTTTCGTCCTTTAACTATACTAGAAATTCTCCTATGGAAAACCTTTTCATACAAACAGAGCAAAGAATGAATAGCATGAATTGCTTTTTCTTTCACAACACGTTCTCTCTCAATAATTAAGAGACAACTACCTGGCTTTCTGATAACTGTTAACTTCAATAAGGACAGTGGAAATAGTTTCTGTGTAAGTTGAGACAAAGTAATGGAAGTTTCTTGAATGAACTGGGGAAATTAGTTCTCTTATTTTACCTATGTTATGGCATATAAAATGAAGGTGAGAGGGGAGGGATGAAGAAGAGAACTAGCAACTGATCACATATGAGAACTGTTTCTGTTCAGATTATAATGAAGAATAAAATAAAAACAGATGAAGAAAATGGATAGATTTAAAAAAAAACATCTGAGAAATGCTTGAAGAGGAAAAAAAATAGTTTGATTTTAGTGATCTAAAGGAAATATAGATGTTCTTTGCCTTAAAAAGATATATACATATAATAAAGGAAGGCTATCTTCTTGGCAGACACCTTAACATAGTTTCCCCAAAAGCATTTTAAATCTAAAAATCAAGAATTTCAGCCTCTTCATAATACTTCAGAAGAGTATATTTTACTTTTAAAACTTTGACTTGTCAACTTCCCAGGCCATAAGATCGTGCAAAAACCTTCTTTTTAGCTGTTACGTAAAACTAGAACTTCTATGTATTATTTCATATTGCTATTTTACTTATTCTTGCAATTACAGCACCCAAATTAAGCTAATAATCTGCTAGTCTATTCTGTGTTTATAAAAGGTAAAAATGGAAGTTAAAAATCTTATTCTTCTTAGATATGTACTTCAGGGTCTTAAAGGACTTAATACAGTAATAAAAATGAACTGACATTACAAATTGTAGTCCTATAACACAGCACTTAAAATTATGAGTTGAAGTTATCAGAAAAGAAGATCACAGATTCCTCTTCTCCATCTTTTTTCTAATATCCCTGCCTCCTATGGTTCATTGTAAACCACTATTTAGTACTGGTAGCAGCAACTGCTAACTGTGCCACCAGGACTGTATCACCATAGCTCTTTTCTGCCCTTTAGTCAAAAGCCTTAACTGAACTCTTAGAAAGCTGTTTGGGGGGATGGATTTAAAGGAAACGATGAGGGAGAAGGTGCATAAAGTTAATATGTGAGGACCAATCTTCTGCCATAAGAGAATTAAAAGCTATTTACCAGTAGCTTATATCATGATTCATGCATAATACCTTAACCACCAGAAAAAAAAAAGGAAAGTGAGCAAGCAGACAAGCAAAAAGACATTTCTAGCCATTTCTGTTTAGTGATGGCTTGTGGGAAGTGAAGAGTTTCATATGTGCAAGAATCATTTAAGTCTTTAAGAAATTTTAATGATTTACTACCTTTTGAAACCTTTTTGAATATCATTGTGTCTTCATATGTATGTATGTGCATAAACACATATATATAATGGTCAATTGGGCATGTATTTATATGTATACTCACACACATATAATACTCAAAAGGAAAAAATTTAATGGAAATTTTAAGACAAGACTGCTTATATTGGAGGTCAAAATTTCCTTTTAATACTATTTGCAAGTAATTTACTAATTACTAATGTCTTAAAAGGTAAAGTATTGTTGACTCAGTTAAAGTCTTCATGTTATATAAGGTAATTTAAAAAAAAAGGGAATCCAAACTAAACCAAATTTTATTTTCTGTCTGAAGTATATATACCTTTTCAGTTTTTAAATCTCTGACACGAAAAACAGCGATCATTTCAGATTTTTCTAATAGCTGGTTTATTAAAATTAAATGCCTCTCTTAAAATAATTTAAATTCTTGGCCTGACATTACAAGTAATCTATAAAGAAAATCCTTAAAATTGGCCTGAGTTAAGCCAGATTTAAACCTGGATCTCTTCCTTCAGTACTGCTCTTCTGCCAGTTGACTTATTCTCCTTTACTTCCAAATATATAAGCTATTTTAATTACTTGATACTTAGTTTAGTAATTTATTATTATAATTTTATTCGATATGAATATTGTAGCTCTGCTTGATTAGATGAAACAGGCACACATGCTTTAGCTATGAAAACCTCCATTTTCTGGTTCTATGTAAAGCAACATCTAAAGCAGCAGAGGGGAGAAACAGTTATATTTTCAAAAATAGTTAAGCCTAACTGTTTCCTGGAGATACTTCAATTATTTTCATCCTCAGATGCTAGTGGCTATTTTTGGTAGGGCTAGACATTAATACTGACCAGTTTAGCTTTTTCCTGACTGTTAAACTGTCCCACAGTGAGCCTGACTTCACACTGAAGACATTGTGGTGATCCTTTAACATACACATATTCTAAAATATATGCTCAAAGTAAAAAGATCCAATTCACAAGAGTATGAAATATTTATAAAAAAATCATGCATCAGATTGTACAGTCTAGAAATAAAAGAAGATTCAAATTCAATAATAAAGGTAAGAGCAATACTTGCTCTAATATTTAAGAAAGACATAAGACTACCAGAACATCCTGGTTTCAATTATCCTTTTCTGTTTGCAGAGAAGCAGTAGCCAGGGCTACTGCTGTGACTGGCTGGGCAATGCCATGGAGCTGCATCTTTGCAAGTTTCTTCTGTTCACATTCTGTGACCAAACGGTTCAACTCTGCTGCACTGTATCCAATAAGAGTCTTCAAGTCACAGACAAACTTGTATACAAATCTCTTGCCTTGAACTTTACAAATCATGTCCCCATCATAATAATACCTTTGAAAGAGAAAAACACATTAAAATTACTGAAAATAATTTTGGACTCCTTACAATATTTCACGACTCTTCCATAAGCAGAATCCTCATAGAGTATTTCATCTACCACAACAGCAATTAACATTGACGTTATATAGAAATTTAATGCTACTATCCAAAGAAACTTCAAAACATGACTTACTAAAATTTCAATGCTCAGTATTTCAGAACTTCATAAGCTAATTTTTCAAAGCATCTTTTCAACAATTTAATAAAATACTGACTTAAAAATAAACATTATTAAATTATAAAAAAACATCTTGGGAGTGGGAATAGAACCTAAGAACAAGGGCTCTGAGTCAGAATGCCAAGATTCAAAATCTAGCATCTCAACTTACTACCTCTGTGACCACAGAAAGCCATTTTCTCTAAGTTTTTATTCCTCATGTATAAAATGAGGTTAAAAACAGTACTTACCCTTAAAGAGTGTTGAGGATTAAAAGGTTTGCAAAATGCTTAGCACACAGACTGTCACATAGCCTTCTATAAAATATAAGCTACCTTAATGAAGAGCCCTTACAGTATGAAGAAATTTTTAATATGCATATTCTAGACTGTTGGAATGCTCACTTTTTTTTGTCTTGCACAAAGTCCTTTATTATGCAGCCATGACATGTACTTATATCATTTTAATATGTAATGGTTTTCCTTTCAGAAAAATTCTCCCCAATAGGGAGCCTCAAAAGTCTAAGGAAGGGATAGAAAGAGAAGATCCAGAAAAACAGGAAAGAAGACATCATAAAGAAACAAGACTTCTAAGCCTACAAAGGCTATTTGGGGAAATCACTCTAAAAGTCTAGTTTATGGCTGCTTTCTATGGAGATGGAAATAGAGTTAGATTTATATTTACTTTGCAGAACAGACTATTTACCACTGTGTACTGCCAATTTCAGTAATAGTAAAAAAGGTTAAGTCAAGGCTTTTCTAGGCTGGCAGATTGTGAAGCCTTTATTTTAAAATTGTACTGCCCAGGTTACCAAAGGGGAGGGGGTAAGGAAGGGCGGGTAGGGGGGAGAGAGAAGGGGATTCAGGGGTATTATGATTGGCACACATGGTATGGGGGGGGATCATGAGGAAGACAGTATAGCACAGAGAAGGCAAATAGTGACTATGTGGCATCTTACTACACTGAAGGACAGTGACTGCAATGGGGTATGGAGGGGGACTCAGTAATATGGGTGAATGTAGTAACCACATTGTTTTTTATGTGAAAACTTCATAAGAGTATATATCAATAATACCTTAATACAAATAAAAAATAAATAAAATAAAATTGTACTGCCCATTTGCACCTGACAATAAGCAGCTACAACAAAACTTCTATTTACAAAAGTACCAGTGGTGTAACTACCACATTTAGCAGATGTTTATTATAAAAGTCACTTAGACTTTTATAATCAAGAGTCCATTAATAAAAAGACTAACTTACACACAGGAAATTATGTCACCTTCTGCTGATTCCAGAACAGCAACACTGTAACAGTTACGTTCACTTTCCCAGTAGATGTATAACACGTTGAGCATAGACTTGTGTTTCCTTTTGTGCCAATATATTAACATAGAGCTTAGATCTCAGCCTGCAAACTACCAATTGCTTGTCATGCAGTTTAAAATGCTATTGGCATTTCAATTTCTTAAGAAAATTTCTATATAGGCCATAACAAATAGATAGCTGAGAAAAACGTAAAATGAAGGAAAGTGGTTTTATATTACAAGGATGAAAATGGGATTGGTATAATCTTATGTTTCTTATGGTAAGAGGTGCTAAAAAATATACACACTATGTGTTAATTTACTTAATACTTCCTTCCACCTAGTAGACACATCAATCATATATAATAGCATTCACTGCATTTTTTCCCTCCCTAAAATGAAGAAAGTAGAAAGGTATACAATACCTGTATTTTCATGGATATTCTTTCTTCCCTCTTTTTTTTGTATTTTGAAACTTTTTTTAACCTTTTAAATTGTGAAATAGATTACATAAACAGAAAGGACACAAAAGTGAACAGCACAGCAATATTACAAAGTGAACATTCACTGTTAAGTATGACTTAGGTCAGGAAACAGAATACTGCCTGCACCCCAGAAACCCTCCACAACACCCTCTAGTCATCACTCCTCCCTTGGTCTAAAAGGTAAACACAACCCCATTTCATGATAGCAATTCATTGCTTTTATTTATATTCACCCAAATATGCATCCCTAAATAATCTAATTTAGTTTTCCTGCTTTTTGAACTTTACTATATAAATGCTTTTTGACTCTTTCACTGAACATTATGTCTGTGAGGTTCATCCATAACAGTGCTTTGTAGCTGTAGTTCATTTTCATGGATACACATACACTCATATATCACAATTTATTTATTCTCTCCACTGCTGACAGATATTTGGGTGGTTCCGGTTTTTAGATGTTGTAAATAATGCTGCTATGAACATGTATTTGGACATAGTGTACATTTTCATTTGGTAAGTATTTAGGAGAGAAACTGTTGGGTTACAGGTTACAATCTACATTATTCCTATAAAAAGTGTAGAAGCATTCTGTTTCATATTCTCACCAATACTTGGTACTGGCAGTCATTTTAATTTTAGACATTCTGGGATGTGCATTTTATACTGTTTTATTGTGGTTTTAAACTATATTTCTGTAGTTAATAATGAGGTACACTACTGCATATAGTCATTTGCTATTGCATAATCTCTAGTCTCAAGTGTCTATTTAAGTCTCCTGCCCATTTGTTTCTATTTTCTTCCTACTGATTTATAAAAGTTCTTTAGATATTCCAGATACAACTCTTATGTTAGCTATGTGTGGCTTGCCTTTCATTCTCTTGATGACGGATTCTGAAGACCAAAAATTTAAATGTAGTCCAATCCATTCATCTTTTCCACCAGCGTTACTGCTTCTGGTTGTTTAATGTTCTACCTCACTACCAAAGTCATGGAGGTATTTCTGGATGCTTTCCTATTTTACTTCCCACATTTACATCTATAAGCTACATGGAACTGGATTTTAGTATGGTACAAGGAGGGAGTTAAGTTTCTCTTCTTGTCCATATGGACAGTCAACTGTCCCAGCTCCACTGACTGAAAAGTAGGACTTTCCTTCCTATCTCCTCCTCCCTACCATCTTTGTATCTATTGTAATCTACAGTCTATTTATCTATCCTAAGCAAACAGCAATGTCTTATTATTGTAGCTTTACAGTGAATCTCAGTAGCATGCAGAGCTAGTCTTCCCACTTTGTTAAATCTTCTTCAGGTGTCCTGGTTATCATGGTACTTAATATTTCCATATAAACTTTAAGATTATCTTGTCAAGTTCTACAAAAAAACTTACTCAGATGGTTATTGCACTGAAGCTTAGACCAATGTGAGGAGAACTGACATCTTAATTATTAATTCTAATAATTCATCTGTAATTTTGAGGGGACATATATGTACATAATCTTATTGATGGTGAAAAATGACAGTTTTATTTCTGATTATACTGAAAGGATCTTTACAGATAGTTGGCAAAGAGTTTGAGACTGAGTAAGTGATAAACAAATAGAAAATAAAGCATTTCAGTTACTTATGAATGCTAAGGAAAACAGTCATTTGGAGAAAGAAAAATAATCATGGTAGACATGTAATAATTCTTATTACATAGTCATGATCCTGTAACAACGAATACTGATCAAATCAAAACCTCTTTATCATTATATAATTACATTAGAATGAGAGGAGAAAGGGTGATGTGTGTGTGTGCATACAGTGATGAGGGGTAAACCATCTGTGTGAAATTCATAGACAATGCCCAGGTGAAACATGAAGTAGCAGAAAACACATTACTTCAAAATACAGAGGCAAAGTGCAGAACTAATTTAATATATATCCTCTTCTAAAAAAAAACCAGACATAATTCCATATCTTTCCTATATATCCTGCTTCTCAGGTATGTAAATGCATATACTGATGTTCCATCACTGTAGCTAAAGTGTAATTTTTGACAGTAATTCTGTCAAAAATTTCATATTACTTATGGGAGATCAAATAATTTTATTGTATTCCAATTAATGTAAAGGTTGGATATTCTGATTTAGGCACATTGTACAGGAAGAAAACGGAAATGAGTCAATATTTTATATCTAATTATAAAAACAGCATCTGCTTATTTGCTAAAATCTATAGTCACTCAATTCACCTATGTGACATTTTTATTACATAAATGATAAAAAAAATCCTAAAGAACAAATATGTTGCTTTTAAATAGAGTAAATTATGCTTTTAAGTCAGATAAAGACAAATAATTTTAGAATCATCGTTTTAAAAAACATTTTCTATCTCAAAATTTAAGTCATTTTTCACATAGCTGTGAAAATTGTAGCTTTTATATATAAAGAAAACATTTTTTGAACAAGCTAAGTATTTTAATATCATTATATAACAATGTCTATACCTAGGGTAAGATTTTTTAGGAAGGCTTAATATTTTTTTCAAAAAGTAATATACGCTTACCTTAATGCACGACTGAGTTTCTCATAGTTCATTGTAGGTTTATTTTTACGTTGCCCCCATTTTTGTGCAACCAGTTCAGGCTGATTTAGCTTAAACTCGCCTTCATCACCAACCCAGGAAATGCAGTCTCGAGCATCCTTGTCTGTAAGAAGTTCTAGCAAAAACTGCCACAGTTGGATTTGCCCATTGTTTCCTAAATTGACAAGAAGGAACAAGCATAGACCACAGTGCTATGGATTAACAGAGTGCCAAAGGCAACAAACAGGTTCTCTGGCTTGTATCTCAGTCATTCTAAAAAGAAATGTTTTTTACAATGCTATCTAAGTATTGCCAGAGAATAGTCATACTCACATTTTCATACAGAGAAATAAAACAAAATATAGATACTTCCAACAAAATTTATAAATACAAGACAATGCAAAAATACCTGTTCTGTTACCAGGTGAACTTCTATCTTCTCCCGAGATCCTTGGAGCTCTTTGTACTTTAGCTGCCTTTGCACTACTATTTATAACTTTAATGGTAGTTGGTGTAGCAGTCTGCACTGATGCTGGAATAATTTGCACAGCTGCGAAGAAAGGCAAGGAAGAAATTTTTTTTCCTTCCAATACAAGCAGTAAAAAAAAATTACTGAAAGACATAAAATGCAATGCTCCTCTAATTACCTCAACAAAGACATTATTTAAAAAAAACGTTAATCCACAAGTTTTGAACAAAATTACAAAAAAAGTTCAGAGGATAAAGTATGATGTGTGTACTATAGTTTGTGAATCTTAGTTTAGTGAATGTTTTATTTTCAAATAACTTAGTGGTACATATATATTAGAGTTATGAAAACACTTATTTTAAAAATATTTGTTCATTAAAAATGGTTTATCCAATGTTGAAGAAAATGTGGACAACTGAGAACTCATTCATACCACCACTCTGAGAAAGACTTTGGCAGATACCTAGAAAGGTTGAAAGGGCAGAAACCCTATGATTTTGCAACTCGAAGATATCACACACATTCTTGCACACTCATTCAATGATAATATGAAAAGTTTAAAAAAATAACAGCAGTGAACATGAATGAAATGAAGGTATTAACATGCAAGTACTAACACAGGCCTCATCACTTAAACGAAAGAACACGTTATAAAATCGTATGTACAATTTATTATCATTTTATCCCAAAATTTTGAACGTGTAAAATAATGCTATAAACATTACAGTAACTACATAGTTGGTAAATACATAAAATATGCATAGAATTAAAAATATCAAATTTAGGAATCATTTAAAAAGGGATCTATGGCAGGCAAACTTGATATACAAAGTTTCAATTCTTATGGTATATGCAGATATGTTATTAATTTATTTTTTGGTATATCTAAAATACTTCATAGAAAATTTAAAAATTAGTTTTCCTTTTTACTACCTTGCAGTACTGAATAAAATTTTTTTAAAATTTATTAATGGTCCATACATTATGGGCATGAATACTCACGTTGATCAATTGTAACTATCTCATTCATCTGTTGCTCTTGGCTTGCCAATACATCTGAAGAACACACATAAAAATTTTTGTTTTCTTTTAAAACCAGAAAGTCAAGCCCCAATACAGTAAAACTCAACTTAATAAACATGATCCTTTTAGAAAAAAGACCACACAAAACCAAGACCAACCAACCAGATAAACAAGAAAAACATTAAACAACTGAAACTTAGCTGGCACCACAACTTAAAAAATACTTGATAGCCACTTTATAAGGAAAAGATATTTTAAAGAGCAGTAACAAAGGGAAAGCTCCAGTTTCTTTGCATATTCAGAAAAGTTTTTCAGAGAACAATGGTTTTCTAAATATAAATATATCTAAATCTACTTATGTAAAACCATGTAAAACATGGAAATCTTCAAGATCAGATCAAAGATGAGAATATTCTTAGATAGCTAAATTTTCAATAAAATTGTAGCTGTCCTAAAGTCACAAATAAACTAATTCAACATGTCTACAAATACAGCTCTCTAACCTAAGAGTTAACCAGAAAAGGTCCTAATATAACCCTTTAGAGAACCATTCTTATTTATCTGTTGTTATTCCCTATTAAAATGTTATTCTTTACCTTTTAAACAAGAGTTACACCTCCCAGTCTGTTACTTTCACCTATTTAGTATCCATCACAGATTTTGAGTCCTGGGGCTCACAGTTCCATTTAGGATGCCATGCCAGGCCCTAGTTACAGACATATAGAGCTAGAAATAGCTGGAACACTAAAAAAAGGTCACAATCCTACCTTCAAATGGTACTTTTCTGGCAGGGGGAGGGGGGGGACCCTTAGTTTGGCAGTTTAAATAATTACATGGTACTACTAGTCTCAGATCCATGTGGGTAATAATCTTAGCACCCACTTCCTGGCTGTGTGATTGGCAAATTACTCAACTAACTTGAACATTAAATTCCTCATGAGAGATCCCTACCTACCACCTCATGAGGTTGTTGCGAGGATTAAAGGAAAATGTTTCAAAGAAGCACAGTATCTGAAACATAGATTAACTTTCAGTTAAGTGGAAGATGCTACTGTTCTATCTACATTTCTAGTTCTAAGCATTCTCCCCAAGAACTGTTGACTGTCTTAAAGAAAAATCCATGCCTTATATTTATGGTAGATTTTTCCCAAAATTTTATGAAAGTGCCTTCAAGAGGCAAAGTGCTATTTAAATTGTTCCATATGTTGACTGTAGATGAACACAAGTGCCTCAGCCTAAAAAGAGGCAAAAGAGAACGTCACTGTCATACAGCACAGGTGTTACCAACCTATAAGATCAGCTTCTAAGCCTTGATTCTCAGAATAGAGTTTGGTCTGATTTGTGAGAAATCTCAAGAGAGAAGGCAGAACACAAAAAGAGAGGGGTTTTTGAAAGCTTGGTTCAAGTCTTTATGGGTATCTAAATGTCATATTTCTCTGCAGCTCTCAAACTGTGGCCATGCACAAAAGAAGTCAAGTCCTAAGAGGCAAAGTTCTGGGTGATATGGAACCAGTTTATGAAGAAACTTTAGACACTGAAGGCATAAGGCAATTCTTTTCCTAAAGAAAACTCAGCAAACTGACAGCTTTGCTTTTGGTGACAGAAGACAGATATTTACACCCAAAAGCACCTCATAGAGCTCTTAGTACTGGAACCTTTCCTGATTATCCTTCCCAAATACAGTAAGCCTCGGATGATATTTCAACATAAGGGGAATGCAGGAAGGTGGTTCAGGTGGGTAATCTAACACAGATCTCTAAAGAAGGAGCCCCGCCTGCATAAGACTGCTTCTCCTTGATCACTGAGGGAGAATAGGTCACAGATGCTAGGTTGGTGTCTTTCAGAGATACCCTGTAGACCTCTTTCTACAAAAGGGGCCAGAGGACTGGACTGTGCTCAAAGGGGGCTATTCTGAGAAGTGTGGCTTGTGAATTATAGAAAGTCTGCCAGAAATAACCTACATCATCCCACCAATCCTCCAATTCTGAACTAAGCATTACATTCCTAAGCCAGATGGGATTTCCCTGCCAGGGCAGAACAATCAATCATGGCCAAAGAAGAAATTCACTGATATACTAAACTAGACTGTGGACCTTTACTTTTGAAAACAAAACAACAGCAGAGCTTTTCTGAGGAAGACCCATTCTGTGGCAAGGAAATGGAAAGCCTCTTAAGATTCCTCTGCCCTGGTACTAGGAAAAAGTCTCTGAACTAGCTTTCAAGTTTGAGCAGCACTAGGAAAACCAGAAAGAGAAAACCACAACAAAGTGCTGACCTGGTGGCGACAGAAAAGCCATCAATTTAAGAAGAACTAAACTGTAATCTAAGCACTGTCTTTGTTCTATTCTTGAGAGTTCCTACAAAAAGTTTCAGTAACCATGACTCGCATGTTAAAAACCTGAAACAATTCAGTTTACCTTATTCATTTGAAAAACTCTGTAGAGAAGAAAACCTGTGAGATCAAGGACAAACCTTCAACCAGAACATTCAACTTATTTATCTAAGAACTGAAACTAGAAATAAACCCTATAAATATAAATGATTATACTAAATCTTTTAGTGTCATAGACCCCCACCCACCACCACCAATTTAAGACAATCTATGTAAGAGAGAAACTACAGATATAAACAAGGATGGTAAGCCTCCATTTCTTATTCAAAAGCAGAGAATGCACCCTGGATGAAAGCCCTAAACGTTCAATTACTGTGGAAGATTCCTTCATTGAGCTGTCCTCTTACTGGGCACATAGAATGAAATGTTACCAGTTAGATTTTCATCTATAATCACTACAAAAACAAAATTAGAGTTTTTCCTATTCATACATTCTGAAAAATACGTGGGTCTAACTAGCATTTCTGATCTAGAATAACTGTTAAGATTATTGCTAAGATATTTTAAGTTACTGAAATATGAGATGATTAAAATTCAAGCAAAAAAATTTACATTTATTTGAGCTCTCTCTGCTAGACAGCCAAATAGTTTCTAATTTCTGTATAGTCACTGAACCATAATAATGTCTATGTAGAAACACTTACAATCAGTGGCTTCCACTTCAGGATGGTGGCTTGCATACCTAACACTTCTTTCTCTCTGAAGATCCCATTCAATTACATGAAATTTTAAACAATTCAATCCCATTAATGAAGAGAATGAAAGGAAGCCATCTGTGAACAGTTTTAAATTCCTAAAAGATGAACAGTACATGGAAGAACTGACTGATGAAACAGAAGTCAACAACTAGACTCCATGAAGAGGGCTAAGCGTGGGGCACAGCATCTTACTGAAGAACTTGGATTCTGGTGTTAGCCAGCCTGGGTTTGGATCTTGGCTCTGCCATTCTCCCTAGCTCTATAAAATTGTGGGCCTAAGTTTCAGCATCTATCTAAAAAATTAGGGAAGTTAATTATTTGTATTAGTATTAGTGCAGGAATTAATGAATTAGTACAACAATTATTAGCATTAGTACAGGAATTAAATAATACATATAAAGCTCGGCACCTTATACAATAAATAAGTGTTAATTATTATTGCTATTATCAATGAACAATTAAGAAGAAACCAAAGTTATAAAGAATGAAAATTAAACTTAAGTTATAATGCAAATAGATAATAATTTCACATACATTTTCGAAGAAGTTCCAGATGACTCCAGAGAATTTCTCCCCGAGGGACCCGCTGAAAAAAATCTTCTTGATTGAGACTACATAATTCTCTTCCGGAAATGTTGAGTGTGGTTAGGTCTATATCACTCATGTTGAATTCCTTCATTACCCAAACCACCCAATGCAGGACTTGGTCTGTAGACCACTGTATAGGATCTAAAGAGAAAAGTATTACCATTAGCTTAGTTCCATTTTAGATATTTTATAAATTCATGATTGTACTTGTCAATACACACACACATTCACGTTGATAAAATCCAAACAGGTTTTTTTTTTCCCCATGATATGAAGTAGAAAGATTTTATGCTATATTTTCTCTTCAGCTCTTTTCAATTTTGTAATCCAAATTTCTGATGGAGTGACTTGGTTCTACACCAGTTAGTCTGGAATTTTATCAGGAAAAATAAAATGCAAAATTATTCTCCAGTGGGTCAAATGGGAGAATAAAATATGTGGTTACTCTGGCGAGAATGCAGTTAAGTTAGCTAAGTCTTAAAAATTACTTTGTAGGAGCGTATGATTTGGTGCACTGGGAAAAAAAAATATGAGCTTTTGGGAAGCTAGACTTAGTCTCCAAATTGTGAAAAATGTAATCTTTCTTTTCTTTTGCTTCTTGTAAAAAGCTGGTTGCTCCTGCATTTACTCTAATGGTGGCACTTACAATACAACATGCTAACTGCATGTTTCCTCACCTGTCTTCCCGTAAGACCTTAAGGACTTAAACACAAGGACTCTGTATTGTAAAGCACTATATGAGACCTTACCACAGTACCTTGTGCATACATTCACTTCATCTATAAAAGGTGATCCAAATAACTTAATTTTCCTCAACATTTTTACTATTGAATTGATTTTGCAAATGAAAAAGATGGTTAACATGTATAAATATTTCATTGTTGCATCCCTGGCACCTAACAGAACATTTTACCCACAGAACTCTAATGAATACTAGCTGAATTAATTCTGGTGTATATCTTCATGGAGAAGATAATCCATCCAATAATATTGGTTATATGCTTTCAAGATGCATGTTATTCAATAAGAAAATAAATGGGAAAAATAACACTTAGATTATTTAGGTACAAGAGCCAATTCATACTAAAAAATGAATCAAACATAAGAATACAAGATTGACAGCCACAGAAGGGATTTTTAATCATTTTCAAAAATAAATTGAAGGAGGAAGATTCTGAGATGACAGCAGTGTTTTTTAATATCTCTGATGCACACATTAAAAAAACTCACTAAAAGCAACTAGAGCGCAAACCAAAATTCCATGGACATTTACAATAACACTGGGTGACAAGATATCCCCATGGAATGTGAAATACACGTTAAGTGAAGACAAAGCATTAGCCACAATACCTCTGTGGCAATGGCATATGTACAGGAAAAAGCAAAGACCCATCCTCCATTCTAAGCCCAGGAAAACCTGAACACAGCCAACATGTGTTCATTAAAAGCATAATAGGCCAAGATGAAAGGAGAGCTCCAAGTAGTTTTGCCCAACCAGTAACAGATGAGCACAAAGGTCTGTGGTTGGGCTTTAGGGGTTGGAGCAGCATAGCACCTGTGAGTTTTTCAAACTGAACCAAAGTGATCAAAAGGATCCCTTCCAGGAGAATGGGCCACAGCAAGGAGAGACTGGAGGGCATGGAATCAAAACTGAGTAGCATAGGAAGACCAATGAAAAGGAGAGAAAGGTTCAGAGGAGAGGGAATAAAGTAAAGTAAAGGTTCAGAGGAGAGGAACTGAGAAGCAAGTGGCTGTATTTTTTACTACTACTTGAAAATAACAGAAGAGGGGGTTTGGGAAAGTTAGAATAACTATCTCAAATCACACTTCCCTTTAAAAGTTCAAGTACGCTCATTGTAAATAAACATGAACAAAAAAGTATCAATATAAAAATGGGGGATAATAGAATGTCTGACTTGTTTTCTTAAATAGTATCAGGACTTCTGGTTTAACATGACTAATTGGCCATGCATGTTCTCCTGCCTCTTTTCTCTAAGATCCTAGGTAAAATGAGAGTAAAGGAATTTTTAAAAGATGTAAATTCATATGAACACAAGTGGGAAATGACATATATAGACAGGATATTTCAAATAATTTCTTAAAGGCAGTAAGCACAGTGAAAATCAAGTGGAATAGGAGAAGCTAGCACTCTGGGTATCTACCAAGAAGGATGCCAGGAAGAAGTGAGAGTGCTTCCACCTGCAGAACCTCCTCACTAGCTCAGGTTCCAGGTAGCACGCAAGGTTTCAGTGGAAGATGAGGGGACTGACTTAGAGTACACAGTGTGGTTAGAATTTCCAGGGTCACTCCTCCATTCTTAGGAGCAACCTGAATGGAAGCATCCCTGCACACAGGGACATCAGGAACACTGTGGATCGGGAGAGACAGGAAACACTTGGAGAACAGATCCCAGGAACAAAAGTCTGCGAACTGAAGAGTGAGAGTTTCTCTACCTCCCCTCCTTTTCCACTTCCATAGTGCAGTATTGACATACACATCAGCCCTAAACTCTCACCCCAACCTTCTATTCATTTAGCTTATACATCCAAATGTTACATCAGCTGTTTGGCCAATTCTCTGGAGAAGTTGAAGAGATCCAAGAAAAAGACCTATACATACTGACACTTGAAAATCTTTTAAGGAAATGACCAATACCCCATTTTACCAGTGTATAGTATACAAACCACTTCCAGAACTTCAAATTAGTCAGCTTTAAAGTTGTTCACTCTTAAATATGAATAGGTGGGAAAGAATAATCAGATATTTGAGAGACTAAAAAAAAACCACTAAACAAAAATAAATAGAAAAACAACCTGGAGGAAGCAGATATAATATAGTAACTGAACAAAACAAAACAAAATCCCACTTTAATCAACATACTCAGGTAAAAGAAAATACACCCAGAAGATTAGAATGTTATGGAAAAGGAACAAAAAAAGAGCCTTTATTAAGTGGGAAATAAAAATCAGATAGGTTATTATATAAAAGACAAGAAAATTTAGCAGAAAGTAGTACAAAGAGAATGGAAACGAACAACAGGGAAGAAAAAAGATGTAGAGGATCAACCCAGCAGATTCAACAGGAGTTACAGAAAAAAACAAAAGAGAAACATGGAAGGTAATTATTAAATAATAGTATGGAAATTTCCCAGAACTGAAGGTTACAACTGTCTAGATCAGTGCTATGTAACATAAATGTAATGCAGGCCACTATGTAATTCTTATGTTTTCTAATAGCTACATTAAAAAAGTAAAGAAACAGGTGAAATTTATTTTTAATAATAATCTCATTTAGTTTATACATCCAAATGTTACCACTTCAATTTGTAATCAATATAAAAAATTAAAAGATTTTACATTCTTTTCTTTTTTGTACTGGGTATTTTATACTTCCATCTCAATTCAAACTAGTTATAGTTTCAGTGCTTATATGGGACTAGTGGCTACTATATTGGGCAGTGTAGGGCTAAACTGAAAAGCTTACACCATAAAACCATAAATTCACAGCAAATGAAACAGACCCACAATTCTACTAAACCAAGATAAAGACCAGAGATATAGAGAAGATACAAGCAGCTTCCAGAAAGAAGGAGAAAAAATAAAGGATATAAAGGAACTAGAATCAGAATGCCCCACTAAATATCTTACACTATAACAAAATGGAACAAAGTCATTAAAATTTTGAGGAAAAATGACTTTTAAACTTAACATTCTATACCCAAACTATCAATCAGAAAGAGCAGAATGACATTTTCAGATATGTAAAGATTCCCTACTAAAAGAAAATAAAAAATAAGTATGTACTTCCTAGGTGTCCTTTCTAAGGAACATTTAAGAGAGAAAATAAGAATAATTAGTACATGAGATAATTAAAAAAAAAACTAGAAAAAAGGAAAATATGAGATCCAGGAAAGTGGAGGATTCGGCACTGCAAGCAAGTTAAGGAGGTCCTAAGATGACAGCTCTACTGCAGATCTAGAGAAGATTCAACCAGGACATAGTTGCGAACTTGGGAAAACTAATGACACAAAACAGATTGATAGAAATGGGAGAAAGTAAGTCTTGGCATATATAGAAATCTACACAACTAAAAAACAAGTTAACTCTGAACGTCAAGTAAACAAAGTTGTAAAATGTAATCATGGTCATACAAGAAATAGATTCTCACAAAGATGTAAGTGACTACTGACTTAGAAGTCACATAACAATGTTAACAAAATGGGAAAAGGTTTGATTTTGCTTTGCAGGGGGGAAGTATTAGAGAAGTAACCCTCATCTACTGCAACAGTAAGTCAATAATGGTTAAAAGCAATAAAGCAAAAAGAGGTTGTAACTGAGGAGCAGGACTGAAGAAAAGAAAACTGTGTTAGAGAACTACTGTTTTTCCTCAGACTTTTTCAAACCAGACTTGAAAGGTATACAACAAATGGCAGAGCTTACCCATGACGACAGGAGAGAGCTATGGAACTGGATTGCTAATTAGATGCAAATCAACTTTATCTGTAATATTTTATTTTTTGTGTGAACATATAACATTTAAAAATGTTAATGTGTGACAACCCTGGGAACCTAAACAGGAGCATGTGTCTTTTTTTAGTTATTCAAACAACTGAAAGAAAAAATAATAATCTAAGTATATCTGTCCTTTCAATATTCTTATTTAATAAAGGATAAAGAATATTGACCTTTATTTTACTTTTAGCCAGTTTTAGCATTTCCTGTAGCTCATCTCTTTGACCAGAATTGTAACTACTATAAATTCATTGATTTGACTATCATCCTGTTGCTTAACGTGAAATAGTTAAAAAAAATAGATCAGAAAAAATATATTCATACATATTTACAAATATATAAAACACATATACATCATATAATATATGCTATATATCTATATACTTATACTTTATATTATACTTACTGTGTGTGTGTGTGTATATATATATATATATACATATGGGGAAGGGCTCTAAACTCGTGACAAAATATAAAGTGAACTTAGGGATTTTTTCAATGTGGATCAGTATTTCCAAGAGATTTAAGTAACTGTGACCAGTTAACCTTATTTCAGTTTTGCACAGAATTAAGCAATCAGCAAAAATAACTACCCTTAGGTGCAAAAATGGAAACCTGAAACAATACTTTGCTAAGAAAATATTAGTCACTTTTAAAACTTTCTAGTAGGTAACAATTGCATGACAAAAAAATCACCAATGATTTTTAAAGTCTTCTTATACCTAAATAAATCTCAAGTATTTTTAAGATCTTTATTCTAAGTAAATAATACTTTTGCTAGGAACTTTGAGTCAGAGTTTATAATCTTGGAACCTATCATTCATTTTTAATACTACTTTCCATAAAAGTTCTAGTGCTGAAGAGTTCTTGTTGATAAGTGTGACAAATTGTAAAACATTATTTCAAAGGTTTCTGTACTTTCTTCTTTCCTTCTAAGCATTTCCCTCTCAAAAGATGACTCCTAACTGACTATTTTTAACCATTCTGAGTATTGGCTTATCTTGTCCTTCAAATGGCAGCTCTTTATTTTGTTATGCTCCAATTAACAATCCCTCTCCTCACTTCTTTAATCTTTCCTCCTACTAGTTCCATACCATTTTATCTATGAACACACTCAGGTCACCAACTTTTGAACCTTCAATATTGTTTGTCTATTCCCCCCTCACTTTTCCCATTTACCCCCACAAAAGTTAATTTTCTCCATTTTTGTAGTGTCTCTTTCTTATAATTCAGCTTTGTCTCTGCAACTCTACAGTTACCTTTATCTAAATCTACGAATGAACCTCTTGATCATCAAATTTAACCTACATTATGCAGTAGGCACTCTGACTTTCTCAATTTCTGTGATACTATATACACTTATTTCCCTTCTCTCTCTTTAGTCATTCCATGTCTCCCTTCCTTGCCTCAACCCTAAATGTTGAAACATTTCCTTGGACAACATAGGAACCAGTCTTTAGTGTTTTGTTCTTTCCATCAAAGACTGCATATACTTTATGGCTTCAATACAAATTCAACATGAGTCCCAGATAACATCTTTCACTCCAGCCCAGATCTTATGTACCTCAACTACTTCCTGGCTACCTCCAGTTGAATATATACTACCACTTCAAAATCAAGTACTATCAACACTTCCCCTTGAAAAATCTTCCAATATCAGACTTCCCTACTCTCCCCACTAGGTTTACGAAGGCATGGATTGCTTTTCTTGTGTACCATTGAAAGCCTGGAATTAACATGGTGCCAGGCATATGCAGTTCACTAAATATGTAATGAAGATGTGATCAATTCTTATCGATACTATTATTGTCTAGTCACCCAAGCTTAAAAAGTTAGATCAATACTTCAGTCTCCTTTCTCTACCTTCACACAATCCATCAACTAGTTGTCTCAGTCCTATTACTGTTTTTATCCATTTCCTCCCATGTAAATCAGCTAGTCTCAGCTAACATAGACATTATCACATAGTCACACATAAACCAAATAACATATTTCTGTCTTCCCTTCACTCAGTCTCTACCTGTTCCAACTTATGCCATATACCACTATCACATTCACTTCCAACTGTCACTTCCATCAATCAAAAGCAGTTCTATAATGCCACAGACTAACTCCTTACCCACTAAATCTTAGTACTTCAGCACACATCCACTTCAAAGCTTTGCACATACATTTTCTGTCTGGAATGTCCTCTTCTACCCAAGTTTCTTTGTCTGTCTATAATAAACTTTTTCATACTTTTCTCCCAGCCTGTTATGATCCCTTTGAGATTCTAATAGCATGTTCCCTTTATACAAGTTACTGACAGCTTAAAAAACATGTTTCTTTTATGGCAATTACCTCTTTTCATCTATCTTCTCCCTCTTCAACTACACTGTGAATACCCTAAGGGCAGAGTTTTTTTAAAAAACAATTTTGTATTCCCAGCACCAAGAATAGTATTTGTCCATCATGTGTGTTACAGTCAAAAAAAAAAAAGATACAAAAAAATCAGTATTCTTCCAAAAATTCTATTTTTTAAAGTAGATAACTTACCCTACTGCCTATGTCAAGCTTAATTCTTATTATTTACCTAACATGTAATTAAACATTTTATTACCATAAGGTATCCCAAGGCGTTCTTGCTCTTTCCTATAACCTTCTAATGCAGCAGCCCATCTTGTCACTTGTTCTGAGGTTTCATCTGTCATAGCTGTAATGTGTTTGGTGCCATCAAGAGTTATCACTTGAGCTTCCTCAACAAGATGTGCTTCTGCTTCTGCATGGTGGGCATCTGGATCAATAACTACTTCAACTGTTTCCGCAGGTTTAACAATTTCAAGGATGTTTAGCTTAGGCTCAATTCCTTAGGAGAGAATTAAAAAAAAACATAAATCTAAACTAAAATATAATAGACACTAAGAAATAAAATTTAGTTATATGTTCTCAAATGGTAGAGCAAAACTCCACCTTAAGTATCTTTAGCAGTATGTCTAGAGAATTTAACAGATTCTTACTAAATGATAAATACAGCAACGATTTAATAGAACTTTGGTAGATTAGGTAACAGTATTGTGTCAATATTAATTTACTGGTTTTGACAGTTGTACTGAGGTCATTTAAAGAATTCCTTGTTTTTAGAAAACACATACACTGATGTATTTAGGGATAGGAGAGCATGTTTGCAACTTATTCTTAAATAAGTCAAAAAAATAATGTGGGAGCGGGGAGACAAAGAATAAAACAAATGTAATAAAAGTTAACATTTGGGGAATTTGGTAAAGGATATCCAGGATTTTTTTTACTACTCTTATAGCTTTTCTGTAAGTCTAAATTAATTAAAAATATCACCATTACCACACATCCCTACTTAGAAATAGTATTAGAAAAAAGTACTAATATGGAATAGAAAATAAAAACTAGACTAGGGAGAGTATAAATGAGTAGCTACCCACCCTCAGGATTTTAAAAAGTCCTAAGCAAATTACAATTATTCACTGACTGCTTCTATTTTTAGAGCAACAGTTTTATACATACAGTATAAAGATAACACATTTTTTAAAACATAAATGAGAAAATAATCATAATTTTTAAAAAAGTTTTTCCCCTGAGATATATTCCCTAATCCTCTACTCAAATTTCATGAAGTCAACTCCTCTTAAAACACACCTACATTGAGAGGGCTTTAAAGATAAAAACAGACTTTCTTTCCTATTCCTGATAATAGTTAACCTTAATCCTATGGAAATTAGAGGTCAGAAGTAGAGAAATACCATTTTCACGATCTGAAGAAAACTGGTTTAAGAAATGTAATTGTAAGCAATATAATATGTTCAGAAATTGTTATAAAATTCTGATCAGAAATCCCAGTAAGTCTCCTTTTTAAAAACTAAAATTCAACACACCAAAAATGACTTCCTAATTTTCTTTCTAACTTGGGTACTTACACAGATTAGTAAAAGACTGTGGTGGATGTGGCAGACTGGGTCACTTATTATCCTCTGCAAATTCCTCTCTGTGCTAAACTGTGAAGCCTAAATTTCCTGTGGCTAGGGTTCCAGGTGTGATTTAGGCTCTAGGATTACTAGTATAAACCTTTTACTTGGAAATGAATTAAGAAGGGAGAGTAGGAACATGACATCCCTTTTTCAGCTAGTACTCAAATTTAGCTTAAATTACTGTAAAGGTAGCACGGTTCCAGGCTGACAGCTACAGCGGTGGCTATCAGATTTGGGCAACAGCTTCCTTGGCTGTTCAGTTCTACAGTGTGGCTAAGGCATTCTTAGAAAGTCAACTAGAATCTGTCCTTCCAGCTCTCTGTGATTCTATGACTACCCTACAATAAATCTCTTCCTGATTAAACTAGGTAGAATGTGTTATACTATCTGTTTCACCTTCACAGATACAATTATTAAGCTAAAAGTATGAATATTTGGCTATAACATCACGTTAAGTAATTTAGACAACCATCTAAAACACATAAACCTTAAAATTGAGTTCCTATATTAGAAAAACACATGCTAAATTTTGTAGTAAGTTCACTAAAAGTAACTTACCTTGGTAAGAAATAACCTGCACACTAAGTTGTACAGTTCCATCTGTTTTTACCCCTTGGTCAAACAAACTTCGTTCTGGATCCAACTAAACATGGGTAAAATGAGTAAGATTATTTTAGCTCAATTACCAGGTTTAATATAAATGGATGTACCAAACAAAACTTAATTACTGAGACATGCTAATTAAATTATAAGAATACATTTAATTATCCAAGTTGTCACATAATTTCTTTGCCAAAACTGAACATATTTTAACCACTGTGGTAGTTAAGTAAGGACAACATAACCTTGATTTTAAGTAGCAGTTTTCTCTAGCTCTGGAGTCTAGTTCAAGATTTTAGATGTCAAAAGGCAACTGTTAATTCTGTAAATATATTTAAAGTAGAAGACAATGTAATTTAGCTGTCATGAATAAACAAGGGCGTTTAATTAGTGGGGACTTTATATAAGTATGTTAACATAATTCTTGCCATATCTCCCTTGTAACCAAAGCTACACATTTAAGATCAGGGTTAACTCATTAACTGCCAATCCCAAAGTTAATAAAGTTAAAGGACTAATAATCTTACTACCTGACCTACCTATGAATAGCTTTAATCATAATTCTATTATCTCTTTAGTCTTAGTGCTTTTTTCCTCCATATATCCTTACAGTGAATGCATGATGACCCGAGCACTCCCCCCATCCCAGCTCACTGGTGGGAGGAAAAGAATCAGAGTGGGGAGGAAATGGAAGCACAGGACTGCTAAATAACCAGCCCTAGTAATCTGCACCTGGGGCAGAGATACAAATTGCATGGTGTACTGGATATTAGAGAAACAGAAAAGTAAAATCCGAGACAGAGACTAAGAGCGGGTCCCAACAGCCAGCTTCCCTGGGACAAAAGAAAAGCGGGCGCTTTAAAAGTCTTAAAGGGACAAGGGTTTAACAGGTGGACCAAATCATCCTGGCACACTCAGCCCAGCAGGCTGAGAATCTTAAGGAACTTCAGGCCCCCTAACACCTTGGGGGGGCAACATAGCTCTGAAGCCCCTCACAGTGATAAGCAGCCTGCTGTTCGTTCCCTACTACCAGCGCTGCAAGCAAACCCGCTGACCCACCATTGCTGCAGACCAGATGGGGAGCAGCTCTGCCCACAGCAACCACACAGAGTCTTCTCCCAGTGCACAGCTAACTAGGTGAGACCCAGGGGCTGCCGCCAGCACACAGCTGCCCAGCACAGACAGAGGAAGCCAGCACAAAGTCTGGAAGGCAGGAAGGGGCACCGTTATTGCAGGACAACACACGCTGGGCGCCTATGACAATTGGTAGTGTCCTAGGCTCCTCTGAGGGCTGCCTCTCCCACTGCAGCTCAGGGCATTAACCCAGAGACTGCTCACTGTGTGCAAGTAACCGGCAAAGGCAGCAGAGAAGGGTAAGGGGACCAGCAAGCAGGAAGAAACTTTGTCCTCCCAGTTGACACATGCGCCACCTGTCAGCGATCACTTCTATTGCCATGAAAAGGCAGAAGAAATTGGTCCAGTCCAAAATCACTCAAACAACACCAGAGAGAGGGCCTGGCGAGATAGACATAACCAATATTCCTGAAAAAGAATTCAAAATAAAAGTCATACCCATGCTGATGGACCTACAGAGAAATATGCAAGAGCTAAGGGATGTAGTACGGAGGGAGATAACAGAAATAAAACAATCAATAGAAGGGCTTAAGGGTAGACTGGATGAGGTGCAAGGGACTGTTAATGGAGTAGAAATCAGAGAACAGGAATACAGAGAAGCTGAGGCAGAGAGAGATAAAAGGATCTCAAGGAATAAAAGAATATTAAGAGAACTGTGTGGCCAATTCAAATGGAACAATATTTGCAAAATAAGGGTACCAGAAGAAGAAGAGAGAGAAAAAGGAATAGAAAGTGTCTTTGAAGAAATAATTGGTGAAAACTTCCCCATGCTGGGGAAGGAAACAGACTCTTAGACCATGGAAGCCCACAGATCTCCATATACAAATTTGAAACACCAAAGAAACCTGGTTCAAAGTAAAGTTACAAATACAACATCTGAGAAAGATTCAAATAAAATCAACCTCATGAATATTCCTGAAAGGTATTTCAAAATAAAAATTATTAACATACTCATGGAGGTACAGAAAAATATTCAACTGAGGAACGAATTCCAGTCAGAGATGCAATCACTGAAGAGCACAATGGAGTGTATTAAAAGCAGATTAGATACGGTAGAGACGATAAAGGAAATAGAAATTAGAGAAGAGAAATACAAAGAAGCTAAGGCACAGAGAAAAATGGATATCTAAGAATGAAAGACTACTCAGAGAACTGTGTGGCCAATCCAAACGGAATAATATTTGCATTATAGGGGTACCAGAAGAAGAAGAGAGAGAAAAAGAGATAGAAAAGTGTCTTTGAGGAGGTAACTGCTGAAAACTTTCCCAATCTGGGGAAGGAGATAGTCTCTCAGGCCATGGAGATGCACAGATCGCCCAACACAAGAGACCCAAGGAAGACAACACCAAAACATATAGTAATAAAATGGCAAAGATCAAGGATAAGGACAAACTATTAAAAGCAGTCAGAGAGAGAAATTAGATCACATACAAAGGAAAGCCCATCAGGCTATCATCAGACTTCTCACCTTATAGGCCAGAAGGGAGTGGCATGATTTAATGTAATGAAGCAGAAGGGCCTCAAACCAAGAACACTTTATCTGCCAAGATTATCATTTAAATTTGAAGGAGGGATTAAACAATTTGCAGATAAGCAGAAGCTGAGAGGATTTACCTCTGAAAAACCGTCTCTACAGTGTATTTTGGAGGGACTGCTATAGATGGAAGTGTTCCTAAGGTTTAATAGCTGTCACCAGAGGTAATAAAACCACAGTAAAGGAAGTAGAAGAGTTAATTACTAAGCAAATGCAAAATTAAATCAACCATCCCAAAGTCAATCAAGGGACAGGCAAAGAATACAGAATATGATACCTAATATGTAATGAATGAAGGAGGAAGAAAAAGAAGGAGAAAAAAAGCACCTTTAGATTGTGTTTATAATAGCATATTAAGTGAGTTAGGCTAGACTCTTAGGTAGTAAGGAACTTAACCTTGAACCTTTGGTAACCACAAATCTAAAGTCTGCAAAGGCAATAAGTACATACCTATTGATAATCACCCTAAATGTAAATGGACTAAATGCACCAATCAAAAGACAGAGTCACTGAATGGATTAAAAAACAAGACAATCTATATACTGCCTACAAGAGACTCACTTTAAACCCAAATATACACAGATTAAAAGTGAAGGAATGGAAAAAAAGATAATTCATGCAACTAATAGGGAGAAAAAAGCAGGAGTTGCAGTACTTGTATCAAACAAAACAGACTTCAAAACAAAGAAAGTCACAAGAGACAAAGAAGGATATTACATAATGATTAAGGGGTCAATCCAACAAGAAGCCATAAACATTATAAATATCTGTGCATACAACAAAGGAGCACCTACATATGTGAAACAAATACAGAATTAAAAGGGAAAATAGAATGCAATGCATTCATTCTAGAAGATGTCAACACCCCACTCACTCTGAAGAAAGATCAACCAGACAGAAAATAAGGAGACAGAGGCACTGAACAACACATAAGAACAGATGGACTTAAAAGGTATCTACAGAACTCTACACCCAAAAACAGCAGAATACACATCCTTCAAGTGCACATGGAACATTTTCAAGAATAGATCATATACTAGACCACAAAAAGAGCCTTAGTAAACTCAAAAAGATTGAAATTGTACCAACCAGTTTCTCATAGCACAAAGATACAAAACTAGAAATAAATTATGCAGAGAAAATGAAAAATCCTCCAAACACATGGAGGCTTAACAACATGCTCCTAAATAACCAATGGATCAATGACCAACTAAAAACAGATCAAGCAATACATGGAGTCAAATGACAACACATCAAAACTGCAAGATCTGTGGGATGCAGCAAAGGCCATGCTAAGAGGAAAATATGTTGCAATACAGGCCAACCTCAGGAAAGAAGAACAATCCCACATGAACACTCTAAAGTCACAATTAACGAAACTAGAAAAAGAAGAACAAATGAGGCCCAAAGTCAGTAGGAGGGACATAATATTAGAGCAGAAATAAATTAAATCGAGAATAAAACAATAGAAAGAATTAATGAAAGCAAGAGATGGTTCTTCAAGAAAAAAAAACAAAATAGATAAACCACTACCAGAATTATTGAGAAAAAAAGAGTTTACACACATAACCAGAATCAGAAATGAGAAAGGAAAAATCACTATGGACACCACAGAAATACAAAGAATTATTAGAGAATACTATGAAAAATTATATGCCAATAAACTGGATAACCTAGAAGAAATCAACAACTTTCTAGAAAAATACAACCTTTCAAGGCTGACCCAGAAAGAAACATAAAATCTGAATAGACCAATTATCAGTAATGAAATTGAATTAGTAACCAAAAACCTACCTAAGAACAAAACCCCTGGACCAGATGGCTTCACTGCTGAATTTTATCCAACATTTAGGGAGGACCTAATACCCATTATCCTTAAAGTTTTCCAGGGAGTACAAGAGGAAGGGAATACTTCCAAATTCATTCTGTGAGGCCAGCATCACTCAAATACCAAAACCAGGCAAAGACTCCACCAAAAAAGAAAATTACAGAACAATATCCCTGACAAACATAGATACAAAAATACTTACAAAATATTAGCAAACCAAATTCAAAAATACATCAAGAGGATCATACACCATGATCAAGTGGGATCAAATGAAAGAATTGTACAACATTCGAAAATCCATCAACATTATCCACCACATCAACAAAAAGGACAAAAACCACATGATTATCTCCACAGATGCTGAAAAAGCATTCGACAAAATTCAACATCCATTCATGATAAAAACTCTCAACAAAATGGACACAGAGGGCAAGTACCTCAACATAGTAAAGGCCATATATGACAAACACACAGTCAACATTATTCTTAACAGCAAGAAGCTGAAAGTTTTTCCTCTAAGATCAGGAACAAGATAAGAATGCCAACTCTCCCCACTTTTATTCAACACAGTTCTGTAGGTCCTAGCCACGGCAATTAGACAACACAAAGACATAAAAGGCATGCAGATTGGCAACGAAAAGTCAAACCGGCCCTGTCTGCAGATGACATAATATTGTACATAAAATACCCTAAAGAATCCACTCTAAAACTACTAAATCTAATATCTGAATTCAGCAAAGTTGTGGAATACAGGATTAATACACAGAAATCAGCTGGATTCCTATACACTAACGATGAACTATAAGAAAGAGAAATCAGGAAAACAATTCCACTCACAATTGCATCAAAAAGAATAAAATACCTAGGAATAAACCTAACCAATGAAGTGAAAGACCTATACCCTGAAAACTACAAGACACTCTTAAGAGAAATTATAGAGGACACTAACAAATGGAAACTCATCCCATGCTCTTGGCTAGGAAGAATTAATTTTGTCAAAATAGCCATCCTGCCTAAAGCAATCTACAGATTCAATGCAATCCCTATGAAAATACCAACAGCATTTTTCAACGAACTGGAACAAATAATCTAAAATTCATATGGAACCATAAAAGACCCCGGATAGCCAAAAGCAATCCTGAGAAGGAAGAATTAAGCAGGGGGAATCTCGCTTCCCAACTTCAAGCTCTACTACAAAACCACAATAATCAAGACAATTTGGTAGTGGCACAAGAACAGACCCATAGACCCTTGGAACAGAATAGAGTGTCCAGATATTAACCCAAACATATATGGTCAATTAATATATGATAAAGGAGCCATGGATATACAAAGGAGAAATGCCAGCCTCTTCAACAGCTGGTGTTGGCAAAACTGGACAGCTACATGTAAGAGAATGAATCTGTATCACTGTCTAACCCCATACACAAAAATAAACACAAAATGGATCAAAGACCTGAATGTAAGTCATGAAACCGTGAAACTCTTAGAAAAAAACATAGGCAAAAATATCCTGGACAGAAACATGAGCAACTTCTTTATGAACATATCTCCATGGGCAAGGAAAAGAAAAGCAAAAATGAACAGGTGGGACTATATCAAGCTGAAAAACTTCTGTACAGCAAAGGACACCATCAATAGGACAAAAAGACATCCTACAATATGGGAGAATATATTCATAAGTGACATATCCAATAAAGGGTTGACATCAAAAATATATAAAGAGCTCACACACCTCAACAGAGAGCATATAATCCAATTAAAAAATAGGCAGAGGATCTGAACAGACAGTTCTCCAAAGAAGAAATTCAGATGGCCAACAGACACATGAAAAGATGCTCCACATCACTAATCATCAGAGAAATGCAAATTAAAACCACAATGAGATATCACCTCATACCAGTTAGGATCACCACCATCCAAAAGACAAACAACAAATGTTGGTGAGGATGTGGAGAAAGGGGAACCCTCCTACACTGCTGGTGGGAATGTAAATTAGTTCAACCATTGTGGAAAGCAGTATGGAGGTTCCTGAAAAAACTCAAAATAGAAATACCATTTGACCCAGGAATTCCACTCCTAGGAATTTACCCTAAGAATGCAGGAGCCCAGTTTTAAAAAGACATATGCACCGCTATGTTTATCACAGCACTATTTACAATAGCCAATAAATGGAAGCAACCTAAGTGTCCATCAGTAGATGAATGGATAAAGAAGATGTGGTACATATATATAATGGAATATTATTCAGCCATAAGAAGAAAACAAATCCTACCATTTGCAACAACATGGATAGAGCTAGAGGTTATTATGCTCAGTGAAATAAGCCAGGTGGAGAAAGATAAGTATCAAATGATTTCACTCATCTGTGGAGTATAACAACAAAGAAAAAACTGAGGGAACAAAACAGCAGCAGATTCACAGAACCCAAGAATGGACTAACAGTTACCAAAGGGAAAAGGAATGGGGAGGAAGGGTAGTATAAGGGGATAAAGGGGTATTATGAGTATCACACATAATGTGGGTTGGGGGAGCACAGGGAAGACAGTATAACACAGAGAAGACAAGCAGTGATTCTATAGCATCTTACTACGCTGATGGACAGTGACTGTAATGGGATATGTGGTGGGGACTTGGTAATGGGGGGACTATAGAAACCATAATGTTGCTTATGTAATTGTACATTAATGATACCAAAAAAAAAAAAATAGAAATAAAAGCCTAACTTCTAACACAGACTTAAATGCTTGAAAAATAAATAATAAAAAGAAGTTACCTGGATATCTTGCAGGCAAATTTCATGAGCATCTAAAGAACACTGCAGTCTTGGTTCTAGTAGTTTCTTTAAATTGCCTATTGGCTCATTGATATCTATGGCCTGGCTTACACATTCAGCTGGTGTGTAGGTTTGTTCTACAATGCTATATGTTAAATAAAGGATACAATGATTAACAATTACATTTTTACTGTGAATATTAAAGTAACCATATGCTCAAAACAAAACTCAATGCCAAAACACATTTCTAGGCCTTAAAACTCATTTCTGCATAGATACTACTCACAGTGGTAGGCTTACCTCCAGTGTCGCCAAACTCAATACAGAATGGCAGAGAAATTTTACTTTGAAATTTAAAGTACCTTTGCAAATATGTCTCATTATGTACATATACATATAGTGTATACACATATAAATAATACATATGCAATATTTACAGGGAAATGTTTGCATTTATATTTTCAAGTTATTTTGAAGACTTTTAGGCTCAGAAAGGAAGATAAAATCTCAAAATTTGTCTTGGTATCTCTACTAGTCAATTTCCCTTCCCAACATAAATACAATGTAACAAAAGACACATAAATATGACTTATATAAAACACTTCCCAATTAGTTTACCTGAGAACTACTGGTTATGGGCATAGCTCTACATTAAAAAAATTAATATCCTTTCTTTAAAACTCTAAGGGCTCTTTTGCATTGTTATTTTATACTTTGAAATCTATGGAATCATAGGCTCTTGAGGGTAAAATCTTTGGTAAATAATTCCGCATATTTTTAAAAATCTTTACATGAGGCCAAGAAGACAGACACCAAGTTATAGGTGCCAAATTGGTGATTACGGAATTCTATTATTTTTCATGGTATGTTTAATTTAAATATGATTTAAATGTCATTGCAACTGTCAAAAATAGTATGTATTTAAAAATATGTCGAGTTCCATTTTCACATAAATTCCAAGTATGTCATAATACATGATGTCCAATAAATTAATGTAGCCTCAATTTCTCCTGAAACTTTAAGTATTTATAAAATAGTCTTGATTAAAAACAAAGGTTATTTTTATATAGTAGTAAATTATTACTATTATTATATGTTAAGGTACAATAGGTGGGTCTTTTGGCCAAGTTGTTTTAACTAAATTATTCAGCTACAGCAGAGTAGACTACATTTTCTTTTTTGTAAAAATCGTTCTTTAAGAGAGTCAGATGCCACTTTAAAATAGACCTTACATGAGCTAAACATTTTAAATTAAAAAAAATATATTTCATTTGCTACCATTTAAACCTTGGGAGACTTCATACAAAAATCTGAATTACCAATTTCTCCTAAAAAAATATGGATGATCTTCACATCACTGGACCTAAATTCCTGCACAGCAACAATGTGCTACAGTACATAGCAACAACTGTTCCTCCTGCACAGCTACTCCCCAGGTCCACACAGTAATCACCAATTTCTTATATTAGATACATGCAAACGTTTTCTGTAAAGGGCCAAACAGTAAAAACCTTAGGCTTTGTGAACCACTTCTGTGTGTGTATATATAAAAATAAATATATGCATGTCAGGCTCCAAGGTGACGCAAATGATCCTCACCAACTAATATTCTATACTTTTATAGTTCCCTCCTGTATTATACAAAGGTTGGTCTATGTGACCAAAAGACTAAGACAAAAGTGATATTTCCCTTCACATATTAGGTTATTTAAAAAGACACTGTGGCTTTCATTTTGTTGAGCTCTCTCTCTCTCAGACCATTTGCTATAAAGGAAACCAGCTGCCTTGTCATGAACAGCCATAAAGAGAAACTCTTGTGGTGAAGTGGTGGGTAGTCCTGACACCAGTCTCACAAGTGATCTTAGAAGCAGATGTGCTAGTCCCAGTCAGCTCTTCATATGACTGTAGCCCAGACTGCAAGCTCCTGAAATATCCTGAGCTAGAACGATCCAGGTAAATGGCTCTCAGGTTCCTGATACTGAAGAACTGTGTATAATAATAAATTCTGGGTGTTTTAAGTGGTTAAGTTTTGGGATACTTTGTTACATAAATTAATATATGTATGTATGTATGTACATACACACACACACCTGAAATTTAAGAAAGGCATGTAGTCTATTTTTCCTTCTGCTGGAGAAAACAACATAATCAAACATGTTTAAAAGCCCTATTAAAAACTTAAGGTTTTAAATCTCAGCTCTCAACACTCAGCCTCCTATTCAACTTTTGTAACTTTGCCATTCCCAACATAGTTAGTCTACAGAAGCCCTCTGCTACTCTTTAGTTCCTTTTACTTTCAGCATATTATCTTATCTCATCTGCTTTACAGAATAATGTAGGGACCATTACTACTACTTCCTCAATCATCTTCTTGATTCTTAAATTTCTATTTTTACCCATTTTCTCTCCTTGGATTCTGAACTCATTACCACTGCCTTCTTCCCTCAACAAGCATTATTCTATTACTGTTCCAGTAACTAACACCTCTTACTGGGTTATATGCCTAGTATTGTACACCTAAGTATGCATATACCTGTATGTCTCCTCAACTACAATGTGGCCTCTACAGGGGCAGGTAGCTGTCTCATTTATTCATATATTCCTGACAGTTACTAACTTATGGCAGTTACTTATAGATTTTGTTAAGTTAGTTCAGGTTGTGAATTAAAACTCTTTTTGAAATAATAGTAACCAAGACTGAGGAAATGAAAAAAAAAAATCAGTGCCCTAGGGGAAAGAACTATCACAATCAATTCCTTGATCACTATTAGTCATGCTTATTATTACCTTTAGTTTAAAACTCTTTCCCTCCCAGTTATAAACCCATTACGTCAGAGAAAAAAAGCAATTACAGCTTGAGTCTTCATTTTAATTAGGTGCATTGATAATATAAACAGGCTAAACTCAGAAAACACCAACCTTTCTTCTGTGCACTCTGATTTCTCTGTTCCATCAATCTCAATTTCTATCAACTCCTCAGCTTCTCTTTTGGTCATGGTTGAAGTATTTCAAAAGCTCAGTCCTGCAAGAGTTAAATATTAAGATATGTTGAAATTATCTTCGTAAAACATAGATGCTACACAAGCAGAAACCCACTTCAAATAGAAGAGAAAGGTAAGTAGAAGAGGAGGAAGTAATGTTCATATATAAAATAAAATCCACAAATGATATTTATAAGTCAGTTTTTGTTTAAATAGTGTTTATTAACCTATTAATAGATTAATGGCATGACTTCATCATTCCATTGGATTTAAGTAGGGTGCTTTTTGGGTCAATTCCAGTCAATAAATTAATTCAAGTTAACTTCAAAACCAAGTGAAAAATACATCATCTATACAGTTAATCAGTCTTAATAATGATTTAAACCTTAAAAATCAACATGGAGATGAACTACAGTTATTTGACTCAAAACTGTATTTTATTAGAATTTACTGCAAAGCACTGTACTGACAGTGATACAAAGTTAATTATAGCTGGATTTGTTACAAGTCACATTTTATAAATGCCAGTGTATTATTCTAAAACAGCAAAATAAAATAACAAAATTATAGATATACACACGTCCTGATTACACACTGAAATTTTATTTATTCACATGTGGTTTTACACATTTTAAACCACTATGTCAGTTTTAATTCTCTCATGTAATGTTATTACTTGATTATTAAACTACCACTGATACAAAAACATAATTTAAAAAATGCTAATACATTAACATTTGCATATGTTGGTATTTCTTTGTGGCTGTTTCTGAGGTGTTCCAGGTTCTGTTCCTATCACACTATAGGTCAATGAATTTGTCTTTGGATTTAACATACAGTCTTAGTACAGGGTAGAGTTTCCTAAGTTTACAAGCACATCTAAAAAGGTACTTATAAGTGCTTTTGACTCTTTTTGACTTAAAAAGAATGGTTCTCTAAATATTTGCAAAGGATTCTGTGCTCTAACCTACAATATTTGACAATATGAAAATTTCAAACATTCATTCCCATTAATAACCGTTATTTACTGAGTGCCAGGCACTGCATTCCAAATGCTTTAGTCTTTACAGTAGAACACTCTTATTTTGAGTCCACCCAGAGGTTAGTGAGGCTAAACTGCCTGGGGTTCCATAATGTTACACTTTAGGGATATCAACTTAACTACACATTATTCCAAGTGAGACTAAAGTACAGGCTCTGTACTGTATATGTACACTAGTATAAGGGCCACCATCATCTTACCAGGAATACTGCAATACCCTAACAGGTTTCCCTGCCGTTTCCGTGCCTGTGCTCCCCCCTACAGCTTATTCTCAGTCAATACAACAGCCAGTGTGATCCTTTTTAAAACTGAAGTTACATCATAGCATTCCTTTGAAACTAGCTAGTCACAGTAAAATCTAAAGATTTCTGTGGCCAACAAGGCCCTAGGTGGTCTGCCCCCAAATCCCCACGCCATTATGGTTCTGACTCCCTCTTCTCCATCACCTTGCTTGTTGTTGCACCTTCCTGTCCTATAGCCTGCCTGTTCTTGCTGTTTAGTCTTCCTGGCACCTACTCCCCCAGGTTGTCCTCTTGGCTAAATCCCTCACCTCTTTCAAGTCTGCTCATTTTCTTCATGAAGTCTACCCTGACCACCCCACTCAATTCTGTAATTTGTCTCCTCTGCTTACCCTTTTATTCTTTCTTCTTGTCCATTGCACTTGTCCTCTCACATACTGTATCATTAATTTTCTAAATTTATTGTCTTCTTTCCTGTTTGATCATCATCAAAGTGCAAAGACTAAAACTGCCCTAAAGTTACTCCTGGAATTTAAATTGATTTGTCTGAACTAAGGCCCTTCCTTCACTTCTTGAAGTGGGTCAGACTTTATCAGGTCTCAGCCTCTCAAGGGACCGAGATCTCTGTGGTAAACATAATAATTACCCCGAAGCTGTAAATATGTTATTAGTCAGAGAGAATTAGGTTACTGATTATCTGACCTTAAAATAAAAATTATCCTGGATTATCTAGGTGGGCTCAATGAAATCACAAGGATACAAGGATCTTTAAAAGTGGAAGAGGGAATCCTAAGATATCCAAAGTTATTTAAATTGAGGACTCAACTGACTTGGGCTCCAGAGATGAAGGAAAGGAGCCACAAGTCAAGGAATGCAGGCAGGCTCTAGAAGGTGGGAAAAAAAAATCTCTCCTAGGGCCTCTGGAGTAAACAGCTTTGTCAACATCTGATTTTAACTCAGAAGATCTGGCTTACACTTCTGACTTCCAGAATTGTATGATAACTGATATTTTTATGCCACTTGCTTGTAGTAACTTGTTTTATAGTGGTAATAGGCAACACTGTCTTCTTTCCCACTTTAGTGGGGCTAGAACTCTCTTCAGGTCCCAACATCTCCAACCAACAGGTAACTGGTTTTCTGACAATATAAGCCTACAAAAAGCTGCCTGTCACAAAATGGTCTGATTTTTCCCACATTAAGGTTGCTATCACACCCACGCTATTAGAAAGAACAATAAGGGGGTGGGGCTCTCCACTTGACACACAAACATACATATCCAGCAGTTTGCCTAGGCCCCAGCAGACTTTTGTTTAGGAATAATTAAAAGGACGAAGGACTTTTGTTTACCTTTCTTGCTTACCCTGGCCTAATTAAGTATTACCCTTCCCCAATAATGCCTATTCCTTAACTAATATTATGTGTAAAATTTTGGAATTCATTCTGAGCACTATAGCAAAACAGCTGATGACCCAGGAGGGCCCTACTTTGTAGGACAGCTTAAGCTCCACAAGGGCAGGAGTATTTGTTTACAGATATATATAGAAAGTACTTTTGAACAGTGCCTCACCTTTAGTAGGCACTCCATTAATATGTTAAATAAGTGACCGCTCTAAGGACTATTGCACACCATATAAATTCACTATAGATACTGTAAAGGCTTAAATATTAAAGGTAAAACAATAAAACTAAGGAAAAAATTTAAACTTTTTTGTGGCCTAAAGATAGAAAAGGATGTTTTAAGTAAAATTCCAAAAACAAACCATAAAGAGAAAAAGTAATAGACCTGATTACATAAAAATTAAGATTTATGTTTGATAGACTACACAGTATTTCCAATATCTAGGAGTGACAAGGGACTAATCATTAGGCTAGACAACAAACTCCTGCAAGTTGATAACAAAAAGTCAGGACAACTTAGAAAAACAAAGCATAAGAAAAGGAAATTCACATAAAGGAAGACCAAAATGGCTAGGGATATGAAGAAATGCTCAGATTCAAATCATTCAAATTCAATTTAACAATTTAACAAAGCGATTTAAAACAAAGTACTACCACCACTTTTATATGATGTGTGTCTGTGTGTATGGCAAAAATCATAACGTTGAATACAAAAGAGAATTAGCAGGGACGAATCCTGTACTTCTGTTGATGAGGTAGACAGGTCTAGCCATTCTGGAGAAAAATCTAACAGCACTTGCTCAAACCAAGTATGCTTTATACCTATGACTCAGCAAGTTTGCCTTAGATAAGCATTCCAGAGACATTTTCACATTGAAAAAAGATGTTCTGGGCAGCTTTGCTGATGATAGCTGGAAGCTAAAGCCAATATGAATATCCATAGTAAGAACATTATCATGATACAAGAAAATGTGAAAGAAGCACACACTATAGAACTTTATTAGCAGTAAGGAATAAGGAAATAATGTACACACACACACACACACGCACACACACAATCATAAAACCGGTTCTATTAAAAGTGAGAAACAGTAAGATTTACAGCAGAATAATACTTACATTATGCTTTATTTTCAGGGCTTACAAGAAGATTCTATTTCATTGCCATAACAACTTTTTAAAAAAAGACTAGAAAGCAAGTGAGTTTTCTGGAAACTGGAAAAAATAGAAGAGGATATGAGGAAGTAACCAGAACCTGAGAAATAGCCCTGAATGTTTATCAGCAAGGATACATTGCTGATAATTAATATAAGCACTAAAACAGGGAGTTGTTGAAAAGAAATTTATCCTGTGATCTTCCAAAGTATTGATTAATCCCTAGAAGGTGCCAAATAAAGGAAAAAATGAACCTCATATACTTTTGGGAAAAAAATCATGTTACTCATAGTCTCTGAATTGAGCTTTATCTCTCTGTACTCTATATTTAGCCTAGGAAGCAATGGATAAATTTGGGAAATTGTCCAAATACTTTAAATCACTGCTTGAGTGGATCTTAGCTCTTTTTCTGGAACCAATTCCCCAGAATTCTATGTCAAGTACCTCAAAAAATGGAGCAGGAACATTAGTTGAAGCCTCTCCACGTAAAGGCTGCCCCCTACCTGACACCCTGGTTTCCCCTAGATAATATCTAACCTGGGTTCAGAACACTTCACAAAATGGACACAAAATACTTAACTTTAATTAAAAATTCCCAGAAAAACTAGTAAAAAATTCCTAGAAAAGACAGTTTTTCCCAATAAAGGTAAATAAAATAAATAAATAAGTGTAGTCTGGGAGTCCCTGCGTGATAAACAGCATATTCTCCTATGTGAACAAATACTTTTAAATACCGAAGGAAATTAATTTGGTTTTAAAAATAGTTAAGAAAAGCACATACATCTGTATATGTATGTGTGTAGAGATAGAAAGCAAGAATGGAGAAAAGATTAACAATAGGTGACTCCTCCAGGTTAGTGTTCATTGTGTAATTCTTTCCCCAAGTCTCCTGTAGATTTGAAATTTTATAAATAAAAGTTGCAGGGAAATAAAGGTTAAAAAAAAGTTTTTAATACAGTATTCAACCTTCACATGCTCTCATGATTTGCCTCACTTTTACATCTAGCTCATTACTTTATTACTTCAAGACTACACTCCTCATGACATATGCATGTATATGCAATCCAGGTAAAATTTAGATCCACCTAGTGTCAGAAAGTCTAAAAACATGTAAGCCTAGAAAGCCTGGATCAAATACTGATCTTTGTTTTGCTCTAGTGAACCCTTCTTTTATCTTTGTTACTTCCACTCATCAGACCTGAAATTCCTATTATTTGTTAGTAGAATCTATTTACGAAGTGACTAGTAGGTCTAAGTTACTAATTGCAATGCAATACTAGGCACTGTCCTCCCTGCCGTTAACCTATCATGCGAGGATCCCTTAAAACAGTAGAAACACGCACGACGGCTTATCTTCTCATACACAAAAACCAAGAGTTGGGAAGCTACATTAACCCATTGTTTCCCCTTTTCTTCCTCGTTTTCAAAAGAAACCCAAAGGACACCATATACATTAAGGGCTCTGATGCAATCTGTAGGGCAATTCTAGAAAGACAACTGAATTTGAAACGAGAGCGGATCACTGAGTCGGCGAGGAGACCGGTTTTGCATCTTCCTTCGAAATCCCGGGGGCTTCAGGATCACATCAGGAACGCCGCGATGATCGCTGCCGACGGCGGCAGGCAAGGAGGGAGCGGTGAAGGGAAGCAGCAGCGGCAGGTGACACGCACAGCCCCGGCCCCGGGGCGCGCGGCCTCACAGGGTCCCGCGCCGAGCGCCCCTCCCTCCGCTTCCCGCACTGCCTTGCCCGCCCCTCCCCACCCGGCTCCCTCAAGTCTCCACGAACGGAAATGGGAGTCGCAGCGCCGAGGACCAGCGGAAACAAAACACAGAGGCGGCCGCGGGGGGGCCGCTGTGGGGGAGAAGGCCCCGGAACGACGCCGGCCCGCGCTCCCCTCCTCCCCCGCGGCCGCACTCACCCGCTCCGGAATCGGCAGTCGCCCCTGCACGCGCTCCAGAGGCAACTGAGAGCAGCAGCGGCGCGGGCTGCACGTGCAGCGTCTCTCCCGGGAAGCCCCGCAGCTCCCGCGACTGGCAGGGTGAGGCCCTGGGCCCTTCCCGCGGAATCGGCGCTGAGGAACTCCAACCCCCCTCCCGCCTCCCAGGCACCCCGGGGTCCACTACTACAACTCCCAGCAGGTTGCGCGGAACGAAAGCCTGAGGCAACGGAGGCTCACGAGGCCAACGCCCCAATCCGCTTTGTATTACACTCTCATTTTCCTTGTATAATCAATCATATACCTCAACAACCCCAAGAAACTGGTCTCTGACTTTGGTCGCGGGAGAAACTGAACTAGGGAAAAGGCCAAGGTGCGCACGCGTACAAAAGACTTCCTGGAGGGAAAAAGAAAGCCGGTCAAATTAGGCGAAGGAAAGATGGCGGAATCTTTGCCAGGGGACCCGGAAGCACTTACCCTCCACTTCCTTCTCTTCGGCTTTTGCCACATCTAGAGCCGTCGCGTCGCAGACCGTCTACGAGAGACTTCCTGTTCGGTGAACGTCGACCGATTGAAACGGTGGCCCATAATGCATTGCGATGGCGGGTCGGCGGGTGAGGGCGGGGCCAGGGCCGGAAGTGGAACGGTGGCGGCGGCGGCTCTGGCAGCTGAAGACTGACTGCAAGGTGACCGGGAGGGTAGCTAAACTGGCTTGGCCTCTTAGGACTCCGATTCTGTTTTTTCTTTATAGTGCTCAGGCTGCCTGTTGCCTCTGCTCTTTCAGTAGAGAACAGCCTTATGTCCCACGCACCTTCACGACCTGTCCCCGAGGCCCCCCTAATCTCGGCGCTTTTAGGCCTTGAGGTTTGCTGTGGACTGTACGTAGCTCTAATAGTAACCCCTCGGAGGGCAAACCGGGGTGGCGCGGAAACTAGAGAGGCCGGGAGTTAAAAGACCCTTAGTCCGGCTGGGGCATCCCAAGGTCATGCCCGCGGGGTAATAGGTCTGTAGCCAGGCGAGTCCTACGAGGACACGCGGGAGATTATTCTTCACGATTTAAAGCAGAATGTGCACCGTAAGAGGTAAAGGGCGATAGTAATCATAAAAGATTGCAACCTACCTAAAAATGTTTATAGTGTTAAAACGTAGTTAATCACCGTTGTTTTTGACTCTCACTTTACCTGCACAATGGTACGCTTGAACAACCCCAAGGAACAGGACGCTGACTGGGGGAGAACGAGGGGAATACTTGAACTATGGGAGAGACCAAAGTGCTCATGCCATCACATCACAAGGTTTCCAGAAGGGAAAAAGGGCGGGTCAAGTTAGGCGCATTGTGGAATGACTTTAGGAATATGTGCAGGAAAATGCAGGGAAAGGACTAACTAACCTTTGGCCAGTCAGTAATCACTGTAAACAGGAGAACCATGCTGCTTCTTCCTACAAAGCCTCTGCACCTGCTGTACCCTTTCCCCCAGTCTTCCTGTGTCAAATCCCTGTCATAGTTTTTCCTGGCACCCCCTCCCCCGCCCCCAGTACTTAAGTGGAGATCTTACAACAGTAGGTATTTAACAACAATTTGTGTAATAACGTGCCTTGTGTTTGACACTGGACAAACTCATATTTAGCCAGTGAAAAGAAAGGGAATAAAGGAGAGGGCATAAGTTTTGATGGGGAGACTATGTGTTCATTTTTGAGACAAGTTGAATTTGAGAGCCCTGTAGGACTTATGAAGGGATGAGAATTGTTGAAAGTATAGGTTTGAACTTAAGGAAAAAGACCAAAATTAGAGATGTGATTTGGGAATCATTAATTAATACTTAGGTGATAAAAATTTTTTAAAAATGAAAACATTTTTACCCATGTTGCAGTAGGAATAACTTGATTGTTGCCATCAGAACAAATCAGCTGTGCAAATATGGACAATTTAATAACTTAGACATAGTTTTATGATCTCTAAAGGAGGGATAAGAAAACATTCTTCTAATTCTTAACAGTATTGCTATAAAGATAAAAGGAGAAAATATATATGGAAGTACTTTGCAGAATAGGACTGAAAAAACAGTAGATGACTGTATTGCAGTGTTAAGTATGTCCTTAAGTTGCCAAAAGGAAAAATATACATCGAATTACACAGTTTTTAAGATATATTTGTGTCCAGGTTCCACTGTGTAACCTTGGAGCAGGCCTATACATACCTCTAATAACCAGTTTCTGCATATGTAAAATGGGAATGATAATAAGTAGCCCCTTAAGGTCATTTGTTATCATTTGTTATTTGCTTGGAATCTTTTCTCAAGTACTTTTCTCTGATGGGTTATAAGAGTGATAAATGATGAATTCTCTAATTTTGTCTGATAGGTTGTTTTCATCCTGGCAAGTGAAGGGCATTTAGTTGATTGTAAGATTTCTTTTAGTAGCTTTTGTGTGCTATACCAGGGCTTTTTAACCTTGCACTATTGACATTTGGGACCAGATAATTCTCTGTTGCAGGAAGGCTGTTACTATTATTGTTGTTTTAGGATGTTTGGCAGCATACCTGGCCTTTACCCACTATAGTCCAGGAACACTCACCCTAGTCAGGACAACCAGAAATGTCTTCATGCCAAGTATCTCCTTGGGAACACCTACCCCTATTGAGAAATTACCATACTAATCTACTGTGTTCTAGGTTAGTGCTTCTCAGGGGTAAAGGGCCATTTTCCCCCAACCTTGTGGGTACTTTTGAAGAATAAAATAAAAATTATTTTTATTGTAAAAATAGATGTAAAAATATTGGAAAAATTAGATGAAAGACAAAATAAAGACACAAAACACAAACTTAATTTTTTATTCAACAGATGTGAATTACTCTGCTATATTGCTATAAAAGTTTCTAAATGCTTATTTCCAATTCTTGTATTACTGAAGACCAGTAATACAACTTGTATACTACCACAGGTTCACAGACCACACTTTGAGCAGTAATATTATAACTTAATAGAAGTCAGTATCCATATGACAGTGATGATGATTATTAGGTAATTTTGGGAGGCCATGTTACCCTTGTCAGGTTTTCACTTTAAGATACAGAAATTTTACCGGGCTATATTGAGCTGTGAATTTTTTTACGACTGTTCCAGCATCGGGTTTGGTAAGCTCTTTCAGTTTAATAGATTCAGTCTTTCTAAAACAGAGAAATTTCTTCTCATTATGGCCTCTTTATTTATTCTTTCTGGAATTCCTATTTGCGTATATTCATTGTAATTTGGAAAGTTTTTTTGCATTTGATCTTTGAAGATCATGAATGAGGTCTCAACTGAGATCATCCTCTATCTGCTGCAATTATTTGGTTAGAAAAAAGTGTCATTTAGGTTCTGGAAATCTAAGGTCTTGAAAACCTTTAATTCTTATTTTTAAAATTCAGACTTCCATCTCCTTCACAAATTCTATTGCAGTGGTTATTTGAACTGCTAGATTTTCCCTCTTTTGTTGGGGAGCTCCCGTGGGCTGGTTTTTGGGACAGGCTTAGATTTGGTTGTTACAGTATTCTTAAATGCCTGGAATATTGCAGTTGTAACAGGCAGAGCAGTTACTCCCGCTCTGGGCCTGTGAATAGAAACTCCAGGTTATCAGTCCTGACTGAGGTAGCTGCCTCTAGATTCCTTGCTCAGTGCCCTTTGGCCTTTTTACAGAATCAGGAAAACCTGGCACATTAATTTGGGGCTAGTGTTGTTCTTTTCCTGCTGGGATTGGGCAGTTTTCTAACATCTAGCTTGACTGTATTTTCTGGCCCGAGACATTAGTTCACTGAGAGAAGAAACACCTCATTCCAGATTTTGTGTTTGCTTTCTGCACCTAACCCTAGTGGAGCTACATTTAGGCCTTAGTTTTTCCTCTCTGCTCCTAGGTCCCAGGGCCCTTTGGTTAAGAAGCAAAAAAAAAAACCTCACAGTGGAGAAGGGAAGGGAGCTATGGTCAGCTTATATTCTTAGTAGTCACTGAGTTCTGGTAGGATTTAGGTCTGTAGCAACTAGTATAATTAGCTTCCTACTGTATGATATATTTAGATATGTTTTACAATTATGTTTATTTTAAAGCATATTAAATTCTGGTGCTTCTTTTCAGTCACAGAATCACCATGATTCTTCAGAGGCTCTTCAGGTTCTCCTCTCTCATCCAGTCTGCAGTCTCAGTCCATTTGAGGAGGAACATTGGTGCTACAGCAGTGGCTTTGAAGGAACTTGATCCTATACAGAAACTCTTCTTGGACAAGATTAGAGAATACAGAACTAAGCGACAGTAAGTGTGTAGATAATCAGCCATGGTATAAATATAAATATTTTAAGTATGTAAGTTTTGAGATGATAAAACAAAATTTACTTAGTGTGTGAAAGTAAGATGTTCACTGAGCTGATCCCTGACATAGAGGTTCCTTAGGTGCTACAAAAGAAGAAACAAGGATCTTGATTTTTTCTTAAGTCCCAAATTTTATCTTGCTTATGTGGGTTCTAAGGGCAAATTCCATTAGATATATTGTTATTTATGATTTATCCTTATTATAATGTCATTTATTGCAAACTAGATTCAATTCATAGAAATATGTAGGATCTTGGAACTAAGTTAGGAAGTATCTTTTGAGAAAACAAGCCATTCATTAGCCAAAGGTCATATGACTAATTGGGAGAAAAACATGTAATCAAAATATTCTAGCTCTTAATTTGGTGCCCTTTCTCTGACATTATGATCTGGGGGGAAGAGTATAAACACAGCATTTTTCATTAATGCTGTTTCCATAGTTACATATTTCTGGGACTACCAAAAGGTAAAAGACACTGAAATGGTATAAAACAAGACCTGGAAAAACATACAGAACTAGTTTTGGAGATGAAGGATGACCTTACCCATCATCAAGTTCAAGCTGCAAATCTCAGCAAAAGTGGTATACATTACTTCATAGTTCTGTTTTCCTTTTTTGTCTGTATGTGCACAGCACTGGGCTGTTAATTGGTGGGCCACAATGAAAAAAGCCACACTTCATTTCTACAATATTCTTAGAATCTGATAGGGATAGAAAACTCATAAGCAGATAAATATAATATTTATTATTGTACAAAAATTAATATAGGAAAAAAAAATGCTCCTTTCTAGCTGGAGGTATTTTTTGGAAGACAGTTTCAAAGAGTGAATGTTTTATCTTGGCTTTGAAGGTTTGAGGTCATTCATCCCTCTTGAAAATGTCATAAACTGCTATGGATCATCGTCTCAGTTAAATTTTTTTTAAAAAAGGGAAGAATTTATTCACATAATTTTGCTTTTAGATGAAAAGGGTTCTCAAACCTGCAGAAGGCCATCAGTAAACACCCACAGCCAAGGGTCTACCCCAGGTTATGAACAGTTGGTGTGAAGGTTGGACAAATGAATGAGGGTAGGAGGAAGATAACTTTTAGGAGGAAATAATGGTGTGAGCTAAGGCATAAAAACTAGAAAGCACAATATATATGGTAAATTGTGTGATGTTGTTCCAAGGCTCTAAGTTATATGAGGGGTGTAGGGAGCAGTTAAGATAGAATGGGGTAGGAATGCTAGATTATGGAAGGCCTTGATTATAGACTGGGCAGTTGTGGTAGTTTATGATAGGCATTTATGAGAAATGAAAGGTTTTTGAGCAGGATGGTGGTGTAGAACAAGATTACTTTGTAATAGGAATTCTAATCACAGTGTATTGGGAAAATTGGAATGAGAAGAAAAGAAAGATAGGCATGTTAGGAAAATGTGATAATCCAAGCACTGGCTGGTGACAACCTTGTCTTTGTAGTAGTGGATTATAAAAGTGACAGACAAGGGGAGTCAGAAAAAGATGGCATGAGATGTGAAGAAGAAACCTTCTACCAAAATCACAAAACACAAAAATTCAGCAAATATAACTAATCCTGCAAAAGTGACCTGAAGACTGCAGAACAGACTGCCTACATCTGGGGAAAAGAGACGACCTCACAGAAAAGGATAAAGTAGCAAAGCTGCAATCCAGCAGGACCTGAGCCCTCCCCCCAACCCCAGCGCACAGGTGGCAGGAAGAGAAATGGAGCAGGTGGAGAGTAGAAGCCCAGGACCATTGTATACCTAGCCCTGGAGATCTGCTCTCAGATCACAAACCCACATTACATGGTGCTATGTAGATTAATGGGGTGGAAAACAAAGACAGGAGGAATACTTGGAGAGTCTGAGATTCCAGCCACTTGAAGAAAACAGATATCCACAACTGGCCCCCCGGGACAAAAGAAAGGCAGGTGGTGTGAAAAACTTCCAGCAGCGAGAGAGGTGCTAAAGGGGGAAAGATTACACAGAGCTTGCTGCTGAGTAGAAAGGGTAGGTGGACAAAATTGTTCCAGCACACTCACCCCAGCAGATTGAGAACTCCCAGGAGCTTAAGATGTTCTATCCACCTGACTGGTAATACAGCCCTGAGGCCCCATACTGTAGTGAACAGCCTGATGCTCCTTCCTCCTCGTAGGCACCAGTCCCATACACTTGCTGACCATGCCATTTCACTAAGCCATCTGGAGGGTGGCCCTGCCTAGGGCAGCTATGGGGGCATAACATAGAAGCTCCTCCCTAAGCACTTGGCCCACTGGAACTTGCAGTGAAGGCAGTCCTTATAGCCAGGAAGGAAGGAGAGAGGGCTTCTGGCAGGCACCAATTCTGCTCAACTGTGACCCCCACCATTGCTATAGGTGATTGGCAGCTCCAGAGAGTAGAGCTTCTGGGCTCTAGAGGGCACCTCCTACACAAATCTATTATCCCATAAGAAAAAATTTAAAAAAAACAACAAGAAATTTGGTCCAAACAAAAATTCAGGAAAGACATGCCAGAAAGAGGGCTTAGTGAAAGTGAAATTACCAATCTTCTTGATAATGATTTCAAAATAAAAGTCACAAACATGCTCATGGAGCTACAGAAAAATATTCAAAATCTCAGGGAAAACTTTAAGAAAGAGATAGAAATTTTGAAAAACACAGTAGCTAAAATGAAACATATAAGGGAGGGATTTAAAAGATCCGAGGTAAAAGAGATGATTAATGAAATATATATTAGAGAACAGGAAAAAAAAAGCTGAGGCACACAGAGGAAAAAAAGGATCTCTAGGAATGAAGAATAATAAGAGCTGTGTGACCAATCCAAAAAGAACAAAGTTCACATTATAGGGGTACCAGAAGAAGAAGAGAGAAAAAGGGATAGAAAGTCTCTGAGGAAACGATTGTTGAAAACTTCCCCAGTTTGGGGAAAGAAATAGTCTCTCAGGTCATGGAAGTGCAGAGATTCCCCAATACAAGGAATCCTTGGAAGACAACACCAAGATATATAATAACTAAAATGGCAAAGATCAAGGACAAGGAGAGAGTCCTGAAAGCAGCTGGAGAGAGAAAAAAGATCCCATAAGGGAAAACTCATCAGGCTATCAGCAAACTTCTCAGCAGAAACCATACAGGCTAGAAGGGAGTGCATTAATGTATTTAGTACAGTGAAACAAGGGCCTCCAACCAAGAATACTCCACCTGGAAAGATTATCATTTAAATTCGAAGCAGGGATTAAACAGTTACGGGATAAGTAAAAGTTGAGGACATTCACTGCCCGCAAACTATCTCTACAGTGTATCTTAAAGGGACTACTATAGATGGAAGTGCTCCTAAGGATAAATAGCTGTCATCAGAGAAGATAGAACCACAGTAAAGGAAGTAGACCAATTAATTACTAAGCAAATACAAAATTAAATCAACTACTCACAAAGTTAGTCAAGGGATACACAGAGTACAAAATATAATACCTAATATATACAGTGGAGGAGGAAGAGAAGGGGAGGAAAAAAACCTTTTATGTTTGAGATAGCATAAAAAATTGGTTAGGCTAGACTGCTACATAGTACAGAAGCTGCTGTTGAACCTTTGTTAACCACAAATCTAAAGCCTGCAATGGCAGTAAGTACATTATTGATAATCCCTCTAAATGTAAATGGACTGAATGAACGAATCAAAAGACATAGAGTTACAGAGTGGATAAAAAAACAATACCCATCTGTAGGCTGCCTACAAGAGACTCACTTCAAACCCAAAGACATACACAGACTTAAAGTGAAGGGATGGAAAAAGATATTTCATGCAAATAATAGGGAGAAAAAAGCAGGTGTAGCAGTACTTACATCAGGCAAAATAGATTTTGAAACAAAGAAATAACAAGAGACAAAGAATGACATTACATAATGACAAAGGGGTCAGTCCAACAAGGGGATATAACCATTAAAAATATATATGCACCCAACATAGCACCATATATGTGAAACAAATATTAGCAGAATTAAAGGGGGAAATAGAATGCAATACATTCATTCTAGGAGATTTCAACACACCACTCCAAAAGCCAGGTCAACCAGACAGAAAATAAGTAAGGAGGCAGAGGGACTCAACAATGCATTAGAACAGATGGACCAACAGGTATATACAGAACACTCCACCTAAAAGCAGCAGGATACACATTCTCAAGTATACATGGAACATCTTGAATATAGACAACATAAAGAGGCCAGAGAAAGAGCCTCTTTAATTTTAAAAGATTGAAATTGTGCCAACCAGCTTCTCAGACCACAAAGGTATGAAAAAAGAAATAAATTATGCAAAGAAACAAAAAAGCCTACAAAGACATGGAGGTTTAACAATATAATCCTAATTAATCAGTGGATCAATGACCAAATTAAAACCGATCAAGCAGTATATGGAGACAAATGAAAACAACAACTAAACAGCCAAAAACCTCTGAGATACAGTGCAGGCAGTTCTAAGAGGAAAGTATCTAGCAATACAGGCTTAACCTCAAGAAAGAGCAATCCCAAGTGAACAGTCTAAACTCACAATTAATGAAATTAGAAAAGGAAGAAAAATGAGGCCCAGAGTCACTAGAAGGAGGACATAGTAAAGATCAGAGCAGAAAAAATAAATGAGCAGAAAAAAAATAGAATCAATGAAAACAGGAGCTGGTTCTTTTGAGGAAATTAAAAAAATAGATAAACCCCTAGCCAGACTTATCAAGAAAAGAAAAGAGTCTACACACATAAACAGAATCAGAAATGAGAGGAAAAGTCACTACGGACACCACAGAAATACAAAAAATTGTTAGAGAATACTATGAAAAATTATATGCCAACAAACTGGGTAACCTAGAAGAAACAGACAACTTTCTAGAAAAATACAACCTTCCAAGACTGACCCAGGAAGAAACAGAAAATATGCAGAGACTAATTACCAGCAAT